TAAAATATATAGTTAATTCTTTTCAACACTAGTTCCCCTCCTATAGAATATTCAAAGTTACTACTCTTTCTCAGTTGTACTGTGTACCTGCTTCCTACTAACCATCCTAGCTCTGTCTGGCCCTCCCCTCCTCCCTTCTCAGCCTATGGTAAAGACTATTCTATTTTCTCCTGTAATGAGAATGACTTTTTAAAAACTGACTTTTTAATATTTGATACAATAGTATTTCAACTCAGTAAAAAGAATTTAAGTAAATGGAGCTCACACAACTGTCCGTCCTGGAAGCAAAATAACTGAGCCTTTTATCTTATATGATTTTAAAAAGTAAACTCCAGATTAGACTAATATGTTTCTTTATTTAAATTAATTTTGGCTGACACAAAAAAATCATATATACTAATGGAGGGATGTATAATAAACTTTTGTCTTTTAAACCTTGGATTTTTTGACATTGTATAGCCATGTAGGTTTGATCTTTAGTATAAAGATGATATTTGTACGGGCTCCAGATGTAGCTCAGTAGGTAGAGTGCCAGCCTAGCATGCTCAAAGCCCTGACTTAGATTCCAGCACCATATAAACCCCTCATGGTGGCACATGCCTGTGATCGTAGCATGTGGCTTTCCATTCCAAATACTTTGCATTATTAGGAAGAAGTAGAATTAGGCATACATTAGTAACAGTAGCCTGCTACCCCTGGACCACTTGGAATCTTATTTCCACCTTTTCAGGGGGCTGCAGCCAACCCAGAGAATGAAGACCAGCAACAGAGGCTGAGAGAAGCTGCTGAAGGTCTACGGGTAGCAACCAACGCTGCTGCCCAGAACGCTATTAAGAAAAAAATTGTCAACCGGCTAGAGGTCAGGAAACGAGTTGGCTTCTAGGGGGCAAACAGTTATTTGGGGGTGGGGAGCGGGGGGGGGAGATCAAATCACCAAAATGATACCTATATAAAGAACACCGAATCAAAGTTAACAGTGTTGTTGGATAGTTTAGGTGCTTTAACAGTATTGACACAATTTGAAGTTTTGCTTCAGTTCATGGCTTCTGAAAACTCAGGTTCTTTTCTGAGTTTAAAATTCAGAAATAGGATGTAGGTCTTTTGCAGGAGGAGGTGGGGTCTTTTGTCCTAGAATTAAAGAAGGACCAGTCATGGGAAGTGTTTATATTTTCTTGGAGGCAGTTACTTTTCCCCCACTTCCTGTAGAAAATTGGGACATTTGAGGACTGGACCTAGGGAGTGGGCTTGGATGGAGAAGGTGGAAGAGAGAATTGGTATTTTTGTCATTTTCAGAATATTTACTCTGATAAAAGAGATGGAAATAACAGGTCAACTGCATAAGAAAATACATTTATTTTCATGAATGTATACAAGAGACCCTTGAACTAAAATGCGGGTGATAGAAGCCAGGTTATCTGTCTAATGGAGAACCCCTCCATAGACAGTCTCCTGGGTTCTGGAAGAAAATTAGCCCCATTCTTGGAAGGAAAAAAAGAGAGTGAACTGTATTAATTACCCCAGGGTGCCAGTGTCAATGTCTGAGCTGAGGCCTCTAGGTGATGTGAAAGGAAGGAAGGTCATGGGCCCCTCTCTTTGTGCTTGACATAGAGAGCAGCTTATGCTTCATGAGGGACATATTTTTCCCCTAGAACATTTAGACCCTGTTTTACTTGCCAGTGTCATCTCAGTATGGCAATTGTCCCTACTCTTTTTAAGAAAGACAAATGAGGTTGGAGATTTAAGCTTCCAGGCCTCCCAGTTTTATTACTCCATCTAGTAAGTGCAAAACCGGGGCTGTCATCAAGGCATGGCAAGGCTGGGATTCGAAAGGCTGTGCCTGCTCCTGTAGTGGACATGCTTGATGTGGGAGTTTGAGTGTACAAACTTAGACTGACATGTGTCACTGTCTTCTGCAGGTTGCAGCCAAGCAGGCTGCAGCTGCAGCTACACAGACCATTGCAGCCTCCCAGAATGCAGCCATTTCCAACAAGAACCCTGCGGCACAGCAGCAGCTGGTCCAGAGCTGCAAGGTAAGCTTTGTGTGCATAGAGGGCCAGGTCTACAATAGATGGCTGATAGTATTAAACTGCCCTGGTAACTCATTTAAGGCAGGTCTTCCAGGACCCTAATCCAATTTCTTATGGCTCCATGTTCTAGGTGTAACTATATCTGGTTTTTGTCCATTAAGTGAATGGCCTGTGTTTGGAATTTGGAAGGAGGGCCCCCCCCCCCCGGCCCCAGCATAGTCTTTCCTTTATAAATTCTTTTTAAGGGACTGAATTAAATAAAGAGAATCGATGAGGCCATTTCAGAGCTCTGAAATAATAATGAGTTGTTGACTTTCCAGAGAGCCTTACTCTTGGGGGGTAGGCCTTCACATTCAGTCTTTATTCATTGTAGCAGGTTGATTTCATGTTTTCTCCTAATCCAAGGTCTGTTTTCATTTTGTCTGGTCTCCATGGGCCTTGTGTTTTGGTAGTTTCTGTTATCTGTAGCCTATCTGTCTGTTTTTCTGAGACGGGGCATTGATGTTGTGTTGAGGACAGCTTACTACACTGTCTCTTCCCACCAAGAGGGCTGACTCTCCCAGAATGCATCTGAATGGTGCCAGACACAAAGTCTTCCTGCAGAGCCATTGCTCACATGTGGCAGAACATCTGCCTGGAGACTCCTGAGAGCATTGGCAGTGGAGGCCAGATGCCAGGCATTGGCTGATTATGTTTGGGTTTTGAGAGCTAAATCCTCCTGTTTATCCTTCAAATCTTTTCCGAAAAATAGTGATTCATCTGAGGGATGCTGCTACTTCTTCAGAAATGGCTGAACTTCTTAGTGGAAATTGGGTTCTACTTCAGAAATAGCTGGGATTCTGAGGAGAAATTGCTTAGAACTCTCTATTCCTGATTGCAGTTTTCTGAGATTCCCCCTCAAAGCTGAATTTGTCATAGGAGGAAGAGCCTCTGTGATGCTCAGGTGTCCTGTCTCTTTGGTACTTGGGACCTGTGGAAAGACAAGGACTTGCTGAGAGTAAAGTTGCTGCTCATTGTGGGTCTTTCCTGTTCCAACCTCTACTCAGTTGCCAGCAGTGTGGAGAAGTAACCTTTGCTTCCTCAGGAACCAGAAGCTGTTCCTGTCCAGGGACCTGTTGCTGAGGGAGCCTTCTCTCCTTTTTTGGTAAAGGGACTGAAGGTGCTAGATCTCCTAGAGTCCCTGCCAGGGAAAGAAAGAGATGCTAGATGTCAAGTTTAAGTGAAGAGAGGAAAATGGACCAAATTACTGGAATCAGCACTCCTGAAAAGTGCCTGGGGATATTTCCAAGTAACTATTTTTAAACTCTTGCTGGACTGGGTTCTTGAGGGGAGGGGTATTTTACCAAGCCAAAATTTGCTGGGCACCTTTAGCCAACAATGACAGTGGTGGTGTTAGCACCTCCAAGGCCAAGTCCATCAGAGGGCGAGTGGGCACAGAGGGAAATGAAGAGGAGCACAGAGAAGGTGGACCACAGGAGGTAGCTACCATCTGGCAGCCCTGCCTTACCAAATATGGCTTCTTTCCCCTGCTTTGGGTTATCCCCGTTTGAGAAATGCTAAATGCTACTTACAGCAGAGAAACAGGAGCCATGCCAGCATGCAGGTATGGACTCCATACCTGCAAAGTCAGAGGCCATGAGCACTTAAACATGCTAGCTGCTGCATCTCTCCCCTGCTTCTTCTAGTCATGGGATCACCCACCTCATTTTATCCACCTGTCAATTATGTCTGTTCTTTGATTCTGACTCTGTAACATTAATGGCTAGGAGCTTGTGGGTTGCAACTAGAAAATTCTTTCAAGGCTTTGTTATTGAGAATAGCATTCTACCAAACAGATTGAGACTATCAGGACCTTAGGGTAGAGTGGGGAGGGGTGGAGAGAAGAGGGGCCAGAGAAGGGGATTCCGTGTGAGGAAGGACCCTGCTGGTTCAAGTGTGTTGTTGAATTCCACTCCTGGTACTGGTGTTCACAAGATTGGATCACACAATCCAAAATAGTCCTTTGGGTCATTTCCCTCTCCTTTGAAAGTTGTACCTCTGCTAATCAGTTCCCATCTCCTTGCATCCTGCAGGCAGTGGCAGATCACATCCCTCAGCTGGTACAGGGGGTGAGAGGGAGCCAAGCTCAAGCAGAAGACCTCAGTGCCCAGCTGGCTCTCATCATTTCCAGCCAGAACTTCCTCCAGGTAACATAGACATAAGCACCATGGTCATATGCAGTCACCTGCTGGCAGTCTGCCCTTTGGCCTTAAGGAAAGGAGTGTGCATGTGCAGACTCCACAGACTTGGCTAAGTCTTAGTCTAAGCAGCCTCAAAACTTCTTTCATGTGTTGTTTTAGATGAAGGAGATTTCACTGACCAAGCACAGTGCTAATGTGCAGGGAAAGTGCCAGTGGGTTAGTGTTTCAAGAGCTGCCACTCCGCATGCAGTGTTAATGTGTGAAGGTTTCGATCTCTTTCCACACAATGAAACTTAGAATTTAGACAAAGTTCTCTTTTTTGTTAGTGATGTTGAGCCAACTGTGTTTAGTCCCCACCTAGAAGGATTATAGTGTGTTAGGGCTGAACAGTATGGGCACGTTTCCTCTAAACCTGCTTTGTTTCTCTTCTTTCTTCTACTTTTTCTTCCTTTCATTCTTTTTTCTGCCGTGTATACACTTAGTTCTTTACAAGAAAAAGGTAAAGTTGCCAGGCATGGTGGCGTACGCCTTTAATCCCAGGACTTGGGAGGCAGAGATAGGCGGATCTCTGTGTGTTCAAGGCCAGCCTGGTCTACATAGTGAGTTCCAGGACAGCTGGGGCTACAGGGAGACCCTGTCTCAAAAAGACCAAAAAAATAAATAAATAAATAAATAAAATAATAATAAATAAATAAATAAAAGGTAACAGGGGCCAAAGAGATGGTTCAATGGGTATAGAGGCACTTGTAACCAAACCTACTTACCTGAGTCCAATCCTTAGGACCCTCATGGTGGAAGGAGAAAAGTGACTCCCGCAAGTTGTCTTCTGACCTCCACATGTATGCCATGGCATGTTCCTCCACCCAAACACACACACACACACACACACACACAGAGTAAATGAAATTTTTTTTTTTTAGATTTTTGTTTTTACTTGTTTTTTGAGACAGGCTCTTCCTGTAGCCATAGCTGGCCTGGAACATACTTTATAGACCAGACTGCCTTCCATGTCACAGAGATCTGCCTGCCTCTACCTCCCTAGTGCTGGGAATAAAGGTATGTGTCACCACACCTGGCTAGAATAAATTATTATTTTTTTAATTTAAGGCAATAGAATCAAGAAATTAAAAACTATATATATATATATATACTTGCTTTGTTTTGTTTAGGTGCTGAGGATTAAACCCAGGGCTCTGGTCACTCTATCATGGAGTTAACCTCCACCCTAAGCCACATACATTAAAAAAAAAATTTTATTTATTTTTCTTTTATATGTTTGAGTGTTTTGCCTACATGTGTGTAAGTGCACCCACTTGTGTACAATGGCAGCAGAGGCCAGAAGAACACATTAGATCCCCTGGAAACTGGAGTTACCAACAGTTGTTAGCCACCATGTAGTTACTGGGAACTGAAACCCGGATCCTCTGTAAGAGCAGCCAGTGCTTTTAACGGCTGAGCCATCTCTCCAACACTCCTTGTACATTTTAAACTTTCTTTATGAATACTGTAGGATTGTCCTTCCAGAAGGATGAACAAATCTAAATTTGCAGCTTGCAGTTTATGGAACATACTTTTTAAAAAATATTTTATTTATTATTTTTATTTTATGTGTATGACTGTATTGCCTGCATGTCTGTGAGTGCACCTGTGTCATGCAGTGCTGTGGAGGTCAGAAGAAGGCGTCAAATTCCCCTGAGCTGGAGTTAAGGACGATTCGTAGCCACTATGTGGGTGCTGGGAATTGAACCTGCGTCCTCGGCAAGAGCAGTCAGTACTCTTAACCACTGAGCCATCTCTCCAGCCCCATGGAGCATACTTTTTAAATATATCTTTTATAAGATGTATAAGATGGAGTTAAGCACTTTAAAAACAAAATTGCTAGGGCTAGAGAGATGGCTCAGCGGTTAAGAACACTGGTTGTTCTTGCCAAAGACCCAGGTTCAAATCCCAGCACCCACATGGCAGCTAACAACTGTTGGTAACTCCAGTCCCAGGGGATCCAACAGCCTCTTCTGATCTCCTCCAGCATTGCAAGACGCGGGTGCACTTACCTACATGCAGGTGATACATGCATACACATAAAAATAATAAATAATTTTTTTTCTTTTTGGTCTTTTTTGAAGCAGGGTGTCCCTGTGGCTCCAGCTGTCCTGGAACTCACTATGTAGACCAGGCTGGCCTTGAACTCACAGAGATCCGCCTGCCTCTGCCTCTCAAGTGCTGGGACTACAGGTGTGCATAGAGAAAAGTGGATACATGCCCAATAGGGGGCTGAGAAACATTAGCCGGGCACATGGGATACTGTCAACTAAGAAACTGGTAGAATTAAACACTGTAAAACAACACAAATAGTATCATCCATCCTTAAAAGTACATTCACATGTGCATAGTCTTTCATGCATATAGTGAAGTTATTTCGGTTTGTGAAAAGTGAGATCATCCCTTTTGCCTTCAATTTTATAAATAGTCTTTTGCATATATTTGCAATTTGGAGAACAGAACTACTCTGAGAAGCACAAAGAAGCATATTTAATAAGCAAATATCTTTGAAATCTGTTTTAAATGAGAATTTCAAGCTATTTCCCTTATTCTGCTTGCCCTACCCCTACCATGATGCATACTTGAAAAATACATATATTTCTAGGATGTACTATATTTGATCTGAATTGGTAACTCAGGGTTAAGAGTAGGGAACTAATTCGTGTTTAATGTGTCCCCTTTTTAGGGAAAAAAGTTCTAGCTGTTACACAGGCATTGTTGTTGAATGTTTGATTTTGTGTTCATCTCGCCACAGCCTGGAAGCAAGATGGTATCCTCTGCCAAGGCCGCAGTACCCACTGTGAGTGACCAGGCTGCAGCCATGCAGCTGAGCCAGTGTGCCAAGAACCTGGCGACTAGCCTGGCTGAACTGCGCACTGCCTCCCAGAAGGTAAGTGGGGCCTTGTCCCTGCAGTTAGCTTTTCAGGAGTGCAGCTTGTCATCCCTTCCTGTTACTGTGGTATGGGTGTTAGGAGGCCTCAGCTCTGCCTGCCTTATTTCTCAGCAAAGCCTTCCATTCTATTTGATAGCTATTAAAGATAGGCCTATGGGTTGACTTCTAGTACATTTAGCACAGGCTCCCAAGGCTTGGTAACCTTCATGCTTCTTCTACTTCTCCCCATATCCTGGGACAAGCAATGGTCTGTTTTTCAGTCTTCAGAGAGACTGGTTGTCATTAAGTATCTTGATACCTAATAAAATTGTGGGCCAAAACAAATGTGTTAGCTTTCAGTTACTGTGACAAATACCGAAAGAATCAGATGAAAGGAAGAACAGTTTAGCTAGGCTTGATGGCACGTGCCTATAATCTCAGCATTTGGTAGATAGAGGCAGAAGGAGTAGAAGTTCAAGGTCATAAGTTTGAGGCCAGCCTGGGCTACATGAGACCCTATCTCAATTTTAAAAAAAGAAAAGAGAAAAAAAGAGAACTAAAAAGGAGAGGGAAGAAAGGGAAGGAGAAGAGGAAGAAGGAAGAGGAGGGGCGGAGAAGGAAGAAGAGAAAGGAGGAAGAGGAGGAGGGTGGGGGAGGAGAAAGAGGAAAGAGGAAGAGGAGGAGGAAGAAGAGAAAGAGGTGGGGGCAGGAGAAGGAGGAAGAGGAGGAGGGTGGGGAAGGGGGAAGAGGAGGAGGAGGAAGAAGAAGAAGAAGAGGAGGAAGAGGAAGGTTTATTTGGCTCATGATTTCACAGATGCCTGTCATTTGGCTATCTTGTCCTGGACTGGTTGCAGTACTGTATGTCATGGTAAAATACAGGCAAATGATACTTTTTCGCTTTGTGGCAGCCAGGAAGTTAAACAAAAACCAAAAAAAAAAAAAAACCAGGAAGGAGCCAGGGTCCCAATAACTCCTTCAAGGGCAAACTCCTCAAAAGCCTAATCTCCTTCCACCTGGCCCCACCTTCTGAAGGCTCTGCCTCCTCCCAGGAGTGTCATAGGCTGAGACTACTCTCTTACCACCTTTGGCTATTTCAGAACCAAACTATAGCAATAATTGATTATGCCTATATCTTTCAGGTATCATCTTGAGAGCTTAATAGCAAGTTATGTAGGTAGAAAATATATTTGGAAGTAGTGTGGTATTATTTTAACTGTCATTTTTTTTCCCTGAGAAGTTTTCACATCTTCCATGGACATGTTCACCTTAACAGGGTTCTCAGTAGAACAGAATTGGAGACTAAATAAAACTGTATGAAACTCATTAATTATCAAAGGCACTCATTACTACTCTGATATAATATTAGCATGAAGTTCTGGCCTGAATTCATTTTTTCTCATAGCAAACCCTTTATAGAAAGAAGCAGCTTCGTAAACTGGTAAGCAAAGAGGATGGGAGCTAGCTTGAATGCCTGCTATGAGCAGAGCACACTGCAGTGCCAGAGCAGAATGCCCAGAGCTTTAGGCTATCTCTACAAAAGTTTGTATTTCGAGCTGTTTCTTGGAGTGGGCCTAGAAGTCACACTGCAGTGGTCTGGTGTGTGTTGGGGGCTTGGGGTACTTATCAGAATGCTGCTTCCCGACATGCATTTTAGCAACCATCAGAATCTTGGGCCATACAGCCCAAACAGCTGCTTGTTATCGTCTCTGTGAATCTTGACACATGCCAGCATCAGATAGCTCCTCTGAAGCAACAGGCCCCAAAGCGGGGACTGCTCCATGGCCCTGGGAGAAGCTGGGAAGGCTTATATTGCTTTTTCTGTACCTGAAACTCTGGAATCAAAGTTTAATCAAATTGTATCACTGTCATTGGCTTAATTTTGTGACCTGAGCACCTAATAATATAGACACATACAAAAAAATCAGTTACTTAGTATTTGCTGTGGTTCTTGGGGCAGTTATCAAAACAGGAAAGAAGTGATAATGTACCAATGTTGAAATTGCTCGTCAGCTACATTGCATGTGCGTGCAATTTATTAATGTGTGTGTTGGGGCCATGAAGGTTCAGCTTTTGGAGTACTGTGTTCCAAATAATCAAGAGAGTTAAAGAGGTAAAACAAATAGCTAAGGAGAAAAACTTGAGTGTGGAAGGATAAGGATTTAAAATGTGGAAATTTGTAGAGAATAAGGTTGCTCTTGTCTCTCCCTGAAGCCCTACCTTGGATTGCTTACTCACTCATTTGCTGTATGCATCCCAAGCCTCTGTGTTCACATACACCTACATACATCCCAAGCTTTGATATTTGTACATGCTCTGCTGTGTGCTCTACCACTGCAGTGAATAAAGGACCTATCCACTACATCTGAGTGTAAAATACCTTCAAGGAGACGCTAAGCGTTTCCAGTCTTAAGATATCCATAATTAATCTCTTAGGTAAAGTACAGCTAAGGTCCTGAGAATGGCTTTACTCTCTGGGAAATGTGTGTGCTGCCCTTGCCTGCTGCTAGAGTCAAAAAATCACCAGGAGTCTCTAGGAAAATGGTTTGTATGTTGCAAGGTATGAGGGACACTTTCCCAAGCAGACCTAGTTTATGTATTTTCTCCCTTTATTAACAGGCCCATGAAGCCTGTGGCCCCATGGAAATCGATTCAGCACTGAACACGGTGCAGACACTTAAGAATGAGCTTCAGGATGCCAAGATGGCTGCTGCGGAAAGTCAGCTGAAACCACTTCCAGGGGAAACGGTAAGTTGTTCAGGGTGTGGGTAAGCTGTTCAGGGTGTGGGTAAGCTAGTTTAGGGTGTGGGTAAGCTAGTCTAGGGTGTGGGTAAGCTAGTTTAGGGTGTGGGTTCTACCTGGGGTTTTTGTTTTTGTTTTGTTTTGTTTGCTTGCTTGCTTGCTTACTTTATAAATAGTTTGGGATTAAACTCAGTACATAGCACAGGCTAGCCTACAACTTTCAACTATCTTACCCCATTCCAGGCCTTTGCCAATTTTGTTCTCTGAGTTTTTCATTCAGTTATCTAAGCAAGATAGCATGCTGTCCATGAAAAGCAAGCTTTCTGTCACTTTTGTAATCTCACCACTTCAAATCTCTGTTTCTCTTGAATATCTTTCAATTTGAACTCTTTGAAGGATAACACTCAAACTGAACTATGTTAATGGTTCCACATGCCAGGAAGGTGGTGCAGGTGAATGTGTGGCCCACTTCCTGTCGTCATAATTAATGCCCTCTAATGATTTTTTTTAAAGATTTTATTCTTATATGAGTGTGTTGCCTACATGTATGTAAGTGCACCCATGTCGTGCAATGCCTGAGGAGGTCAGAAGAAGGCATTCCCCTGGACTAGAGTTGCAGATGGTTATTAGCCTTCATGTGGGTATTGGGAATTGAACCCAGATCCTCTGCAAGAGCAGTCAGTGCTCTTAACCACTGAGCCATCTCTCTAGCCCCATAATGCCCTCTAATGATTTCTTGTAGACTTTCTAAATTAGGTTCTAAACAGCTACAACTTCCTAAGGAATTGCCTTTGTTCACTGAAAATCTTAGCTAAGTCTGAGGAAATAGACTTAGAGGGATTCAGTAATTCAACCAGCCTCACACAGCTAGTGGTCTGTGTACCCGGACTTACTTATTCTAAGCTAGGCTCTTTATTGTCCCCCCCAGCTGCTGCTTAGCCCCATGGGGGACTCAAGAAAGAGCTCAGGTTCCAGATTTGATTCTGGGTCATTCTAAGCTATGCCAAGACCTCAGTGGATGTTTCTTTTCCTCTAAGTTCTCTCTTTTTTGAATATTCTTTCAGCTGGAAAAGTGTGCTCAAGACCTGGGAAGCACCTCCAAGGCAGTGGGCTCCTCCATGGCACAGCTCCTCACCTGTGCTGCTCAAGGAAACGAGCACTACACAGGTGGGACTCTCATGGCCTTCATGATGCATGTGGCCAGGTGCACACCCCTCTGGGAGAGGAGGAGTTGCTGATTTGACAGTAAACCTGTCCTTTTTTTCCCCCCAGCTTCACAGCATATTGTTCAGACGCCACAGTCTTATTGCTAAGGTTATTTTTAAATATACAAGATACTTTTCTCCTTGCTGTGACCAAAATACTTGACAAGTGGAGAGTTAAGTGGAGAAGGATTTATTTTGGCTTATAAATAGACACAGTCCATCATGGTGGGGAATTCATGGTGGCAGGAACAAGAGGCAGCTGGTCACATTGCCTCTGCATCAGTAGCAGAGAAGGATGGGTGCTTCTGTTCAGCTCACTTTCTCCTATTTATTCAGTCTAGGTCCCCAGCTTACTGAATAGTGCAGCTCACGGTTAGGGTGAGTCTTCCCACCTCAATTAACCCAATCTGTAACTCCCTCACAGATACACCCAAAGGTTTGTCCCCTAGGTGATTCTACATCTGTCAAATTGACAATATTAACCACTAAACTAAGCATTTAAAGTAATAAAATAATTAGTAAACTATATCACCACATTAGGCTACAAAGAAGACTTCTAGGACTGTCTTTGACTCCAAATATAACACCAAAGTAGAGAAATTAAAAAGAAATTAGAGATGACAATACATGTCAACAAAATTTTCCAAGATCAAAGACGGATATGGGGAACCCATACAGCTGAATGAATGAAGTTGTCAGCGTCTCCTGAAGGAGTGGGGCTGGACAGGAAACCAGTAAGAAGGAAGTTGAGTTGTGCTGCAGAACAAGGGGCTGAGGGGATGAGTTTTGTTCTCAGTGCTAGATGTCTCTGAAAGGTCGGAGAGCCCTTAATAGGGGTCTATGTGAGGGACAGGTTAGGTAACTATACAGGTTGGAAATCAGGTACTGTGCTGACTTCAGTTGTGATGTCTGTTGCCAGTTTACTTTAGGATGCAGCTCTTAGTGTGTCCTGCTAAGGCTGTAGAGTTCACCAGGGCTGTTGTCTTTCTTGGATTCAGAGCTATTATTTTATCTCCTTAGCTCCCCTGGGCATAAAGGAGACTTGACTCTGAGCCTCCATTTCTTGAAGCACTTCCAAATTAGGAAATGTCTTGAGGGAAGAAGGTGGCCTGAACCTTGAACTTTCCTCTCTGCATTTTCCTTTCATCCAAGATCTTGGTGCTCTTCCTTGGTGCCCGTGACTTCAAGTACATGTTTTCCAGTTGTGTTTCTGTGAGAGGATTAATTTGCAATGAATGAGTTATTCTGTCATTCCTACAGGCAAAAGTCCTCTTAGATGTTTTTGGGGGTTTTTTGTTGTTGGTGGTGGTGGTTTTTTTTTTTGGTCTTTTTGAGGCCCAATAGCCCCCATAGCCCCAGCTGTCCTGAAACTCACTATGTAGACCAGGCTCACAGGGATCCAGTTCCGCCTGCCTCTGCCTCAGCCTCCTGAGTGCTGGGATTAAAGGCGTGCGCCACTACACCCGGCTTCTCTTAGATTTTTTTTAAAAAACTGTATACAATTTTTACTTTAAAAGAATATAACAAGGAGTTAAGTTATAGTATAATATGCTACAGTACTTGCAATAATAAAAACATACAATTCTGTGAAAGAAGAAGGGCAATTTTCAGAGGAGACCTGACTCCTTCCTTACCAGGGTTTTTAAGATTGTTTAGAACATTTTTAAAAATATTTCATTTATTATTTTTATGAGTATGAGTGTATTGCCTTCATGTATGTGAGTGCACCCATGTCGTGCAAAGCCACGGAGATCAGAAGAGGGCTTTGGATTCCCCTCGAACTGGAGTTAAGGATGTTTCATAGCCACCATGTGGGTGCTGGGAATCGAACCCGGGTCCTCTGCAAGAGCAGTCAGTGCTCTTAACCACTGAGCCATCTCTCCAGCCCCTGTTTAGAACATTTTTAAGGAGAATGAAAAAGTAGGTATGATTTCTTACAGAATAGATGATATGGGGGAGATTTTAAGTTTAAAAAAGTCCTACACATTTCCCATATCTTGGCAGATTCTGTACAGAGGATGAAATGTATAGAAGTTGCATCAACATGCAGGATGCCAGGTAGCCTACTTGGCATCTGAAAACAGCCTAGACAGTACACTGCTTAGCTTTGGTAGACAGTTAGTAGGTGATACTGATGTGGGGAGTACTGTGTGCATGAGAGAAAGCTGAGTAAAGAAACTAAATTCTAGTAAAAAGCAAGGGGGACCAAGAAATAAGAAGATAGAGCTGGAGACTATATGAAAGATGACATAGCAGTTAAGAGCATTGACTGCTCTTGCAGGGGACTTCAGCACCCACATGATGGCTAATAACCTTCTGTAACTCCAGTTCCAGGGGATCTGATGCCCTCTTCTGGCCTCCATGGGCATTGCATGCACATGGTGCACTTATACATGCAAGCAAAACATTCATTTATGCAAAATTAAAATAAATATGATGCAGCTGGAAAGCTAAACCAGGAGCAGAACCATAGCCAACATGAGTAGTTTAGAATTTGACCAAAGATTATGTGAATGTACTGGAGAGTTTCAGCTGTGGAAACAGATCACACTGCCCTTTTTTGTAGGTGACCCTTCCTCCTATGTGTAGAATAGTTTGGAGAGAAGCAGTTGGAGGCAAGGAGGTCTTCTGTCTGTGCTCTCCATATGAGCACCAGACCACCACATGCTCAGAGTAGCATGCATACCTACACACATACACACAGAAAGTCAACTTTCTGACACTATAACAAATCACCTGATATAATTAACTTATATAGAAAAAATGTTTGTTTTGACTCACAGAGACTCTAGTCCATGATTATTTTAGTCTATGATGAAGCATCATATGATGGCAGGAGCATCTGGTAGAATAAAACCACTTACCTCATAGCTAAAAAGCAAAAGAGAGTGAGGATGAGGGCAGGAGGGGTGTAGCCCATAATAGCCTTCAAGAGCATATACTCAGTGTCCTGAAGTCCTCAATATAGGCTCTGCCTCTTAAAGCCTCCACATCTTTTTTTAAAGTTATTTTTACTTCATGTATGTTTCGCTTGCATATATGTAAGTGTACCCATGTCATGCAATGCCTGTGGAGGCCAGAAGAAGGCATTGGATCCTCAGGGACAGGAGTTAGAAACAGTTGTTAGCCACCATGTGGGTGCTTGGAGCCAAACCCAGGTCCTCTGCAAGAGCAGCCCGTGTTCCTAACTGCTGAGCCATCTCTTCTGCCCAAAGGCACCATTTCTTGCCAGTAGCATCACCATGGGGATCAAGTCTTTAACACATGAACCTTTGGTGAACGCTCAAGGTCCAAAGTATAGCAGTAGTGGAGATAAGAAGAGAGATTATAGAAGCAAGCCTCACAGTGCTTGGTGATTGGTTAGAATGCGGCAGGGATGGAGATAGAAAATGTAACGTGGAGAATCCTGTGGCCTGATAGGTGAATGAAGGGTTCTAGGAATTATGGGGGAAAGAGTACAAGGTTGATAGTGGTGGGGTTGAAGTTCAAGGATGCAGTTTTAACTTCAGATAGACTTGATTTGAAGTACTCAATGGATATGCAGATGGTGATCTCATTAGGCAGCTCTGGAAATCAAGAGACAAAGCTTGGCTGGAGACAAAGTTTCAATAATTGTTAGTTTAATCATAGTGATTGAAATCTTAGAGGCAGATAAGTTTGCCTATGGTGAGTGGTCAAGAGAGAAAAAGTTAATCAGAAAAGCCCAACTGGTAAAGGAGGAAACTCAACAATAGAAACAGATACCAGTACCGTGGGCAGGGAAGAGAAAGATACGTGTCTCTGGAGTCAGAGAGTTGCTGTCCAGGAGTCTTGTAGGAGAGTGGAATAAGGAAGTCCCTGCTCTCCAGGTTGGAGGAATTTCCACAATACTGAAGAACGGGTGGAAAGCAAGGGAAGAGAAAATGAGTGTGAGCAAGTTCTCCCTGGGCCTCGGCTCCCTTTCTCCCCGCCTCAGCCATGTGGACCATTCAAAAGCTGCACATTAACACAGTGGGCTGCAAGTGAATTTTGTTTAGCCAAAATTCAAATTCGATATTCAAATTCAATATTCAAAACACATTTATGCACCATTTAATACAGCTACATAGAACCTTCTGCAAACACTTCAGAATGAATTAAAGATTTATGTCATACCTACATTTTACGTTGGGGGCACTGTTTTTACATGCCATATACATGAATTCTGAAAATAACAAGCGTATGAAAGTTGGGCATAGTGATGCATGCCTGGAGGCAGGAAGATCAGGAGTTCAAGGCCAGCCTGGAATACAAGAGACCCTTTCTCAAAACAACAATCATTATGAAAAATGCCACTATGTTTGCTATCACTTGCTACTACTAAAGAGAATTGAAGATCCAGATGATCAGAATTCTGTGAAAATAATCTGTTTCCTCAAAGTTTTGCAGTTATTGAAATACATGTGCAGTAGAGTTTCCCCCTGGTAGGTCTGGCATTGTGATGTACATAGAAGAACAGTTTCAGGTCGGGGGCATGAGACTTCATCACATGACCCTATGGTGATTCCCACTGACAACATGACTATGAGCACAGCCTTGTTGGCTTTGGATTCACAGGGCTCTCTGGCCTCCTGGCAACCTTATTTCAGCCTTTGACAATATGACTTCCTCATTCTGGGAAACCTGTTTCCTTCAAATAAAGTCCTTATTGTGCCTTGAAATTTCACAGTGAGTCCTCAGCAGAAGATCCATGAGATGGACAAGCTTAGGCTTTTGGATTTTATCTTTTACAGTTGCTAACTTTCAAAATAATCTGAAGGGCTGCAGGGGTAAAGACACCTACCACCACGCCTGATGACCTGAGTTTGATCTCTGGGACCCACATGGTAGAAGGAGAGAACTTACTCTCAAAAGCTGTCCTCTGGCCTGCTCTCCATATGAGCACCCGACCACCACATGCTTAGAGTAGCATGCGTACCTACACACACACACACACACACACACACACAGTAAATAGGTAGGTAGGTAGATTATATAGAAGATAGATAGATAGATGATAGATAGATAGATAGATAGATAGATAGATAAAATGTGTTAATTTTTAAATCATCTTACTCTATAAAATGTTTTCCATTCAATGGTTTTGCAAAAGTGCATCTTATTACTTATGATAAATGTCTTATTCCATATTCTCAGAATTCAAATAGAAGTGAATGCAAGAGTTCATATAATAAATGAGAAGTCATCTAGACATCACAGCCTAGACTCTTCAGCAGTCAATCATAAATTCCCAGCACTCGTGTGGGAAGCCGTGGCCTGTGGGAAGGACAGCAGTCTAGACATGCAGCTAGTTGGAAACCAAATAAGATGAGGGCATGACCACATCTGGAGCTCTGCTGAGCAACCACATCCTTCAACCCTGAGCCAAAAGCTAAAACAGAAAATGTTTCTCCCCTTCACCTTAGCTTTATTTACATTTGTGTTTTCTCTTCTGGGCCTTGCTAATACTCCACCCCTAAATCCTTGACTTCAAGCTCTTCCATTCTTCCAGCTGTATGATAAGCAGATTAGCAATATAAATTCTGCCTTGGTTAGATCACGGTTCTCCATCCCAGCTGTGCAGCACACAGAACATTTGCAGATGTGTGTGTCTGAGGCTGGTTTTATGGGTCTTGGACCTTTCTTGTTATGGAGCCTCATCAGTACCGCAGGGAAGACCATTGGCTGTATCTGTGCTAACTCAGAAGGAGTGATTCTGGGATGCTGCAGTCCAGAATGGAAGATGTCCATGGTTGTGATTTCTATGCACAGCTCATGTTCCAACAAGACAACCTCGTGCTTTGCCTTCCCAAAGAACAGACTGAAGAGCATGAGGTAGGAAGCTAGGAATCTCAGATCCCGCTCTCACACTACCTTGGAAATGTCTTGTGGACAGGACACTGTCACTGCTAGGCCTTGTAGGAAACTTTGCTGAGACTAGCTCCAGGGTAAATTAGGTTCCTTTGCTCCTGTAAGGAAGTGCCCCTAGCCCTCAGCTTCATAGTGTGTCAAGGACCAGATGCCATAGGTAGGCACATGTTTATTCTGTATGAAGTGGAGTGGTGTTGTAGCTTTAGAGGACTGATTTATGTTCCCCAGTGACATCATCTCTATCAAAGTAGATTTTAAAACAAACAAATACCACAAGAGGATATCCAAGAAGCCTTTAAATGTATTTTAAGAAGTACTATCAACATCATTACTTCTTAAGAGCATGAAAGTTAAAATTTGATGCAGCTACATGCCCAACCAAAATGGAAAATCTGAAACAATACCTACTGGTTAAGATTTGGAGGGAACCACAGCTCCTCTGCATTGCTAGTGGGGTGGATAATAGTAAAACCATTTTGTAGTATTTTCTGTAGCTAAGTTAGCACTCCATGATCCAGCAATTCAATTCCTATGTTTTATCCAAGATACTTGATTTACCACATGCCAATCTGAATGTGTACACAAGAACTATCTTGGAATTTTTGTCCATAACAAGAAATATACTAAGTGCCCACCAGCAGAACAGGTAAATGAATGTGAGTGTGTTTATATGACATCACCCTTCATAGAAGAAAAAAGAACAAATGGTTACACGTAATAGCACAAGTCAATCTCACAGCTGATGGCCAGAGACAGAAAACAGACACAAAAGAATGTACACCATATGGTTCTTTAAATGTGAAGTTTAAGGACAGATAAAGCTAGTCTGAGGTGGCAGATGAGAGTGTTAATTGCTCCCAGTGTGAGGAGCAGTGTGGGGGATGGGCAGAGCAGTGGTGACTGTATCCATATGTACAAATTCACTGTGCTGCTCACATCTGTCCTCTTTATTTTGTGTGTACAGTTTATGCCCTTGTAAAGGCAACTGGGAAGAATATTGAATTAAAATTACTTCCCACAACCTATGCATAGGCACACCCAGGCATATACATCCATCTGCTCCAATATACATGATGTTTTATTTCTCGGGACATGTGATGCAGTGGGAATAAGGGATGTCAGAGTGTTGAGCATTCTCTTTCTTGTACAGCATCTTTCCTGGATTGGCTCGGGGCCAAGGGGATGGGCCACTTCATTGAGCAGCACAGCAGTTCACATTGTACAAAAATTTATCTGGACCCCAAGGTTATTGCCAAGGAAAAATATAACTTTTAATGTAATTTAATAGAAACTAATGGGCTTTTATCCCCCAGGAGTGGCAGCTAGAGAGACAGCCCAAGCTCTGAAAACACTGGCTCAGGCCGCCCGGGGAGTGGCAGCATCAACAAGTGATCCTATGGCTGCCCACGCCATGTTAGATTCAGCTCGGGACGTGATGGAGGGCTCTGCCATGCTCATCCAAGAAGCCAAGCAGGCCTTAATTGCACCTGGAGATGCAGAGAGTCAGCAGAGACTAGCCCAGGTGAGCCTGGAACCGGGAGCTGTAGTGATGACAGTCATGCGCAGGTCAGTAGGCTGCCTCCTGGGCATGTTTTCCTGGGGTGAGTGTATCAAAGTGTGTATGGTAACAGGGCTGACCATCCATGATACTATTGTATCTTGCCTGGTAATCCCCACATTAATGTGAGATCTGCTTAACTCATCATCAGCAAGGTATGGAGTGGGTCTTTGAAGTCTGTCTGATTTGGGATGCCAGACATAACATGCTCGCTTGGGGCCTGGGCCTACTTCATTCCCCTCCACTTTTTAACCTGTGAAGTAAGATAGAGACAATAGGTCAAGTCACCCATAAGTCAAAGCTCACTGTCACCTCTTCAAATGGTTCTTCAATAACTCAATGAAACCAATTAGTTAGGGTCCATCTAGGCAAAGTCCTTGATTGGGAACATATTCTAGATGAAAGAAAATTCCACTGCCTACCTCCCAACTTCCCTTTTAACTGAGGATACCAAAGTGTGTGAACAGGGAGTTGTTTCAGTATTCCTAAAGGACAGCATGTGGGCATCTCGAAGTTGGGTCTAGGGGTACTGGAACATCCACTTTGCCCTTTGGGAAATTGACATCTTCAGGGATGTTGGCACAAGAGGTTCACTGAAAGAATCAGTCACAGGTCTGTGATCCAAAGAACTCAAGTACAGCTTTAACCATGGAGACCTCAGCAGGCCTCCAGGTAAGGGAGGTATTTCTGCTTCCCTTGATAGAAGGTACCTGTGTTTTAGAATCTGACCTCATATTGGAGAGTTCTCTGTTTGGATCCCATTGCTGTGGCTCATCCTAGCTCTGGGATGTGCAGCATCTCAGACTGTTAACCCCAGCGTGGGGGCAGCAGAGATAAGAGACCTGGCTGAGATGATTTAATTTAGTAAACAGCATTGGGTAGATGCCAGTGGATAATTTCCATGTTGGTGTCAGCTCTGCATATTCTCCCTGTTCTTTCACAACAAACGTGTAAAGGCGTTTGTGCCAGAAGCTGCTTTTTTAAGGTGCTTCTCTCCCTCTGTGTGTTCAGGTGGCCAAAGCCGTGTCTCACTCCTTGAATAACTGTGTGAATTGCCTCCCTGGACAGAAGGATGTGGATGTGGCCTTGAAGAGCATTGGGGAGTCCAGCAAGAAGCTGCTTGTAGATTCGGTGAGGTCCTTATCTGGGAAGGGGCACCTAGGATCGGTTCACTCTAGGAGGGAGTGTGCCTTTTCCCTACATGAGCTCTCTTGAGAGGCTAGCCTTTCCCTTAGGAATCCTGGTTTTCTGCCAGTTTGTCTTTCCTTTGTTTTCCTTTCTGATCAACAAAGTCCCCAAGACAGGACTTATGGGGGATGGGTACATATCGGTGCAAGTGGCACATGTGTGAGCAGGTATACACATGCACATATGTGCTCATACCTGTGGAGATAGGAGGACAACCTCAGATGTCATTCTTAAGGTGGCTTCCACTTTTGATTTGAGTTAGGATCTCTTGGTGGTCTGTCTCTAACTTCACCAAGCAGATTAGGCTAACTGGCCATTAAACTTCCAGGATTGACCTGTCTTCACCTACCATCTCTCCCTCACTGAGATTATATGTGCATACCACCATGCCCAGCTTTTTAATGTGAGCTCTGTACCAGCTGAGCCACCTCCTGGGCCCTTGGAGTGGAGTTGGGTTGTTTTTTGTTGTTGTTGTTGTTGTTGTTTGTTTTTTTAATTTTTTCCTTTTTGAGGCAGTGTCTCCCTGTCTCCCCACCTGGCCTGGAACTCACTACGTAGAGTAGGCCAGGTTGACTTCAGGCTCATAGAGATCCACCTGCCTCTGCTTCCCTGCTTCTGTATTGTTTGTTCTTTGGTTATCCTAGTGAGACAAACAAGAGGCTGTGATCTAATCTAGCTGTGTATCAGAGCATGCCAGCTAGTGACAGGTGACAAGGGGCACATGTGTTCAAGACTAATTAAGAAAGCAGCTATTCTGAGGACTCCCACTTTGGAGCCCATTCCTGTCCCTCATTGAAGGAAAGGTGGTACTCATTTGTCTGGTTCATCTCTGTGCAGGTGCCAGCAGTGTCCGTGTGTAGAGTCTAGTTTAGCTCCCTGGAACTTTAATGGTTATACTTCTGCAAATGAAACTGTGTTGTGTGGGGTTCTTTTTAGGTTATTAACAAGGACCACAAATAGAACAAAATTGATGGTTATTAGTTTGGAAAAACATAATTTGAAATTGGATCACATCAACCTCATAGTTCTAACAAGCTACAACTGGGAGTTTCTATCTTGAGAGAAACAAAGAAGGGTGGAGATTGGATTCTGGAGTCAAGCTGCCTGTATGTCACTCCTGTCTCTGCCACTTCAGTGACTGTGAGTGCCTGAGCATAGCTCTTTCACCACATTTAGCTCTCTAGTACATGCACTGAGTGAGTGAAGATGTATTGAAATTCCAGTTTAATATGGACTCAGACTACACAGAGCTTTTTAGTTGGATTTGAATGACTCAGAAACAGATCCATGGCAGTCATTCTTCCCTCCACAATACCTTCCTTTATCCCTCTTGTGCGAGGTAAAACTTCCCATGGGGTGTGCCTTCTATTTCTATAGCTACCTCCAAGCACGAAACCTTTCCAAGAAGCCCAGAGTGAGCTGAACCAGGCTGCTGCTGATCTGAACCAGTCTGCTGGGGAAGTTGTCCACGCCACACGGGGCCAGAGTGGAGAGCTGGCAGCAGCCTCTGGAAAATTCAGTGATGACTTCGATGAGTTCCTGGATGCTGGCATTGAGATGGCTGGTCAGGCGCAGGTGGGTGGGAGATGGCTTATGTTGCTCACCTGAGCCTCCAGGCTCTGGTGGACCAACTATCTCTGAGGATGATTGGACTGAAGGGCCCCAGAATTCTGTAAACAAGCCACAGTTGCCTTCCTTTAGTACCTAGGAAGTTGCATGACCTCATAGGCATGACATACCTAGAGATGCTATCAACTGATGTGTGAGGTGCTTCTAGGGATAAGAGTGACTTTTCGTATGATCCTCCAGCAGAGCTTATATCTTTTTACTTTCACCATTTGGGGGAGGGTAGGAAGAGGAACAATGTTTATCAGAGATGAGGACAGCTCTTTCAAGGTGGGATAATACAGCAGGCATACACACACATGTATGTATTTGCAGTTTGGTGGACTCCTTTGAATGGATTGCATCTGGTACTGAGTGTCAGATGGTTTAAAATTACCTGCTTTAAAGAGATAAGCCACTTGTTTAGAACAAGGGAACATGATTGGTCTGGCATCAACTTGCGGAACTGTTTTGTTTTGTTTTGTTTTAAATTGTTTTGCTTTGTGATTTGCGGGGAGGGGTAGAGGTCCTGTGAACGCCCTAAAAGAGATATCTAGGGTGTTTCTTGCTTTGTTTTCCACAAAGGATAGTTTGTCAGTCAATAAGCCCAGTCCTTCTCCAAGTTGGGAACTTCTGAGATGCTCCGAACATTGAAACAATGCTGGTCATTTGTGCCAGGCTGAGATGTACAAGATGCTTGACAACTCCAGCATTGTTAAACAAGATGCTCGAATCGTCGTTGCTCAGTCTGTGGACTGGAGCTGCTTGAGCATTTGCCTCCTGCTTGTCTTTAATGTCCCCATATAATGAGAAAACAGAACTCCTGGCTGACCCACTTAGATGTAGATTTCTTTCTGGCCACATGCATCTTGCTCTGAGCATCTATTTGAGGATGAGTAGACACTAGTCATTGTTTCAGTGAGATACATATCTGCAGCCTTGATAACTTGCCTCCACCTCAGGAGCCTAGTTCACGATTGTTTTGTGGGAGTGATAGACAGTCCCTAACTGACTTGGCTCTTCTTGACCTTCCAGACGAAAGAAGATCAGATGCAAGTGATAGGGAACCTTAAGAATATCTCTATGGCATCAAGCAAGCTGCTGTTAGCTGCCAAGTCTCTCTCTGTGGATCCTGGAGCCCCCAATGCAAAAAATCTTCTGGCTGCAGCTGCAAGGTAAGCCTAAGATGTGCTTCTGTGAGTGTGTGAGAAATGCCATTGCATTTGAAGAATGTACCTGACTTCCTGCCACTTTGGCTGAGCAAAGAATTGCTGTTATCCTTATGTTGTTGGCAGTAGAGTTGAGATTGACGGGCATTCTGGTATTCTGTAATAAAACTAACTCATCCTGTGTTCTTAGCCCACTTGGAAAGTCTTCCATCTTCATATATAGCCTCTTCTGAAAAGACTTCTTACTTAAGATTTGTGTTGATTTGCAAACATGATGGTTTAAATAGATTTTCCTTCTTTCTCTATTGTGTGTGTGTGTGTGTGTGTGTGTGTTTACAAGTGGGGGGGCATTATGTGTAGTGTGTGTACATGTTTGTGTGCATGTGGGTACATGGTGTGTGTACACATACATGTATGTGGAGGCCTGAGATGACCCTTGATCATCTTCTGTCTTGCTCATTGAGGCAGGTTCTGTCAGTTAAAATCAGAGCTCACAGTATGGCTAGTCTTGCCAGCCAGTTTGCTCTGGGGAGCCCTTCTCTACCTTCTGAGGCTCAAATTGCAAGTGGGCCACCACATCCACTCAGCAATTTACATAGGTTTTGGTGATTCAAACTCTAGCCTTCACCCTTATACAGAAAGCACTTTAACCACTGAAATATCTCCCCAGCCCCTAAGATCATTTTTTTAAGTAGCATTATATTGTTCAGATTATAGAAGTAATATACTCTCATTGAAAAAGAAATTGGGAGATGAGGAAGCCAGGTCACCCTTCTCCTGAGCGCTCTGAGATGGTGGGGGATCAGAGGCACAGAGTGAAGAGACCCTGGGGACTTGCAGGTCTGGTAACAAGCTACTTCATTAAAAGTTCAACAGGTTTTTATACAGAAAAGAAACTAGCAGTTATGTATGGCTTTTGCAGTTGCATACAAAGTATTAGAAATTTTAAGACAAAGAAACAGGAACAGTAACTTTTTGCTGGTATAAGCTAAGGCAATCACATAGCAAGATATTTATACGTTACTCAGGGCTATTGTCTGCTGATGTATTGGTCAAGATGTTTACTCTCTCAGACAGGGAAATTAAGATACCTTTCTCAGAATGAAGAACACAGCCTATCTGATCTGGCCAGCTTCCTCTGCTAACCATGGAGCTGTTCTGTATTTCAGGGTCTCACCCATAAGCAGAGGCTGTGGTTTGATCTCCAGGTCTCAGGTTCCATTCATTCAAAGGCAGGTCATCCCAATCTCCAACAGGGAGATACTAAGAAAACTACTCCAAAGCCATTCAGCAGACACTGAGCACATACAGCATGACTAACAAACATCCACGTTGGATTGGATGTTATATGTTCCATCCATCACTTGCAAAAGGGCTCTGGTTTAGGATGAACAGCGTAGCAATGGGAGTAAACTATCTTTGAACCCAAGTAAAACATGAATCCTCAGTGCTAGAGAGATGGCTCAGTGGTTAAGAGCACTGGCTGCTCTTGAAGAGGACCCAGGTTTAGTTCCCAGAGCCCATTTGGTGGCTAACAACTGTCCATAACTCTAGTACCAGGGGATGTGACACCCTCTTCTGGCCATTGCAGGCATTTCACACATGTGGAGCATTACACACATGCATTCAAAACACCCATACACATTTAAAAAATCAATAAAAAATTAGAATAAAATATGAATTCTTGTATGGAATGATGTCTGTGTCCATCCTTCTATTTGCTTTCACTTCAGGGATATGAGAAATACACTTTCTGCTCCCAGACCGCCATTGTGGCACTTCAGAAGTTCAGTCCCTAGTGACTGAATGCTACTATGCATGCTAGACTGCAACAGTAGCCCAGCACTATCTGGCACGTGCAGTCTCAGGTTCATTTTCCATACCAGAGTGTATTTTATGATTCTGTGGTCTTGCAGGTGTTTTCACAGTGTTGTTTGACATCTTGTTATGTGTAAAAAGCCCGGTGGTGAGACATTAGATGACTTGTTACAGGGGGACAGAGTAATGGGAAACCCCTTCAAAATGTTCATAGTCATGATTAGCTTTAATTCTGTTTGCTTTATTGATTTGTTTATTTATTTTTGGCTCTTACCATGTATCCCTAGCTAGCCTGGAACCCAAACTCAGGATGGCCTCAAACTCAGAGAGATCCACCAGCCTCTGCCTCCCAACTACTGGGATTAAAGGCATTGATTGCATTTTATTTTTAACTTGGTTTTGTTTGCTTGTTCTATGTTTGTTGTTATTCATACCTTTAAGTTGTCTGAGTGAAAAAGCTGGAATTCTAGTGCAAAGATCTTTAATGGTCAATCTGCTATGTCAACCTACCCAAACTTTGCCATTTGTAAAATGGGGGTATAAACTCTGACTACCTTCAACCATTTTTAGCTTTCATGGTACTAATGGTGACATCCTATCTCTCCTTCCTTCTTGACTTATAGTATATTTTTTAAATTTTGTTTTTTTTTATGGAGGGTTAGACAATGTCAGAACAGTTCCCTTGCAACAGCCCTTGAATTTCTTTTCTTTTTTTTTTTTTTCTTTTTGAGACAGGGTCTCCCTGTAGCCCCAGCTGTCCTAGAACTCACTATGTAGACCAGGCTGGCCTTGAACCCACAGAGATCCACCTGCCTCTTTATTTTTTTAGTTTTTTTACTAACAGCTTGAGGGTGTAGCCCATGGGGCAGGGAAGCCATGACAGCAGTATAAGACAGCTGGTCAAATTGCCTCTGCAGGCAGGAAACAGAGAGAGGATGAACGCTGCTGCTCAGCTCTTTCCCCTTTTTGTTCAGACCAGGACCCCAGCCCATAGAATGGTGCCATTCACAGTTAGGGTGGATCTTTCCACCTCAATTAACCTTGTCTAGAAACTGTCTTACAAACATGCCCAGAGCTTGGGCTCCTAGGTGGTTCTAGATCCTGTTACATTAACAATTAGCCATCTCAGTTGCAGATATATGTAGTGGCAAACAATAGCCAGAGCCACTAGGGAAGTGCAAAATTATCTTCGCATCTGTCCTGTTCCATCTCATGCTTTGCTTGTGATTGTTTTGGTAAAGCAAGTGCCCTCCTTTAATGGTTGTGGATGGGATCAGGGATGGGGTGATGTCTGTTCTGTTGAACCCCCGCTCTTTGATCTGCTTCTTTTCCTATGCAGGCCTTTGTTTCCAGGCTTATCATCTTCAGTTTTTTGCATCATTTCCAAATTGTAGTTTCCAACTTGGAATGAATTGTTTATTCTCTAAAGTTGTAGGGAGGAGGAGGGAATATAAATTGGCTTTTTTTTTTATTTGGTTTTATTGAAATTTTTGTGTATTTCATACAGAACATCTCAAACAATCTTAATCATCTTTATACCCCTGTCCCCACTGGCACCCCCCCCCCACTGGAGCCTATATACTCTGTCATCCCTGTTAAGGGCCACTGTGTCATCAGATAAATTGGCTCTTTAAAAGCTCCTATAGAAGTCCACACAGAGCAAGAAAGAATTATGGCTTCCCATATCCACAGGCCTACTGGTGGTGGCACTAAGAACAGGCGCCCAGGTGAAAAAGCTCTTAGCCTGTGACCTGGCTTTCAGCCCTGACAGATAACACCCAGCTTGAAGGTTTTAATGCTGCATGTGAAAATAATGGAGTTGGTGTGAAGATGCTGACATCTCATCTGTGGTTTCTTGGCATACTTTGGCTCCTTTTGCTCCTTGGGATATTTTTCCAGCAGACACTCTGTCAGGCTAGAGGTTATCTGTTTATGGGAATTATTGAGGTCTGTGAACCACCCTGTTCTGGTGATAGCCCAGATGTGCATGTCCCCAATTTGCCTAATCCTACTACTGTCAACCTTACCGAACCACTTGCTCTTTGGGGTCCGTGAACTTTCCTGTTCTGGGAACAGAGATAGTTCTTGGTTTTTGTTTTGTTTTGTTTTGTTTTGTTTTAGACCTGTTGGGAGGGAGTCGTGTTCTGTCTTGTGGCCAGGTTGTTCATCTTCCTGTGTAACTGGTTGGGCTGTGCCTCTTGTCTGCCAAGTTGGGTGGAGTCAACCATTCATCAACCAGGGCCTGGTCTGACATCCCTTGAACTTGGACCTGGAATGGAAAGCGAGTCTGCAGGTACAGGAAGGAGGGCTTCCTCCCTCCAGGCACTGTCCCCACTGATGGGGGTGGGGGGCCAACTTCAGTCACCCTGGCCACAGGGACCCAGAGCTAGCTGCGACATCAGACCCCTGCCAACTGTTTCTGTCTTCTGAGGGTCTCCTCTAGGAAGCTGAGGCTGCTCCTGTCCCCTTGGGTTCTGCCAGACAGATTTCTTTTAATCTCCAGAGACTATGACAAAAGCATGACAGGAGAAGGGCTTGCTCCAGATACAATAGAAAAATATAAATGACTCTCTTTTAGTCTCATCCAGGATGTTCTCTACCAAGGATCCAAGCCAGGATCTCACACTACCTGGATTTTTTTCAATGGTTTCAGTCCATGTAGAGACTTCCCCTTTGTGCAGAATCCCTACCCTATGGTTGAGTTTCGTTTTCCCTATGCGTCTCCACATTAATCTGGTCTCTTGTTCAATAATCCATCCAATCTTATGCTGTTTTATGTTGTCTTGTCTCTCCAGCCAGATTGCCAGCACCTTGTAGCCTACAGAGATCTAAACTGCATCTTTTTGTTTTCTTTTCTTAAGTTCCAAGCCTTATGCAAAGCAAGACTCCAGGAATACTTACAGGGGAATTTGACTACCTCTTTTCTCCTTTCCTTGAGGAAGAGAATGGGCTTTTGCTGTTTTCCCACCAAACGCCTTAGCCAGTTGACTTAGGCTTCAGGGGTGATCACAAGCACAATTGGTTGTTTTTCTTTTCTCACCCTACCCCCATTTAAAAATTCAAATCTCTGGACTGAGTATGGTGGCACACCCTTGTAATGATTCCAGCACTTGGGAGACTGATTCAGGAGATTGTGAGTTTGAGGCCAACCTGGGCTACAGTATAGTAAGATCCTGTGTAAAAAAGAAAGAAATCCCAGGCACATCAGTCAAACTTGAGTGAAACAATTTAGTATCTTTGAACACTAAATGATTTTTAGTTTAGAAAACTCTTTTTAACCTCTGAGGTTGCAGATCTCAATTTTTTAAATATAACTAGATAAAGAAGAAAGCTTAAGAAGATGCCATCTATAGATTGTGAAATTATGACTATTTAACCTTTTTTATAATTTGTGTGTTCCTGTGTGAGTACACTATGCATGCAGTGGCCAAAGGTAAACATTAGGTGTCAACTTCAATCCCGTCTACCTTACTGTTTGAGACAAGGTCTCTCACTAAACAGTTTCAGCTAGACTGGCTGGCCAGAGAGCCCCAGAACTTCTGGACCTCTGCCTCCACAGTGCTGGGATTACAGGTGTACTATACATTGTTGCCAGGCATCCAGGCCCAAGTCCTCGTATCTGCATAGCAAGCACTTTACCAGCTGAGCCTTCTCAACCTTTTTATATTAAAAAATAAATGAATAGTTGGTATGATGGTGCGTACCTTTCATCTCAGCATTCAGGAAGCAGAGTCAGGTGGATAGCCGTGAGATCAAGGCTATCCTAGGATGGTCTACATAGTGAGTTCTAGGCCAGCTGGAGGTACAGGAGGACCTTGTCAGAGAGAGGGGAGTGGGAGGGTACATAAATAAATTTATATAGCTTCAAGCACTAAAATTTTAGATAAAAATAAAAGTAACTATTGATCAGGACTATTTGGATTCACCTTGCTAATTTTGGTAACATTTTTTAATGATGATATAATTTCATCAATTTATAATTTTTTGAGATGTATTAAAATTTATCTTTAAAAATAGCATTATAAAGTCACTATTAATCTTTTTATGTGTGTTATTCTGCCATTCCCTGTGCATAGATATATGTTTACTTTTACATGCTGTTTATACTACTTTATAAGTTGTATCATACTTAGTCATTGTCTTAGTTTGTTCTTCATTGCTGTGACAAAATACTCTGACCACTACCAACTTGGGGAGGAAAGGGTTTATTTAGCTTACATCTCCCAGGTCGTAGTTCATCAGGGAGCCCAAGGTAGGAACTCAGGGCAGGAACCTGGAAGCAGGAGCTGGAGCACAGGCCATGGAGGAATGCTGCTTACTGGCTTGCTCCCCTGGCCCCTGCTCAGCCTTCTTTCTTATGCAACACAGGCCCACCTGCCCAGGGGTGGCACCACCCACAGTGGGCTGGGCCCTCCCACATCACTTATCAAGAAGATGCCCCTCAGACATGGCCACAGGCCAGTCCAATAGAGGCAATTCCCCAATTGAGGCTCCCTCAACCCAGGTGTGTCAAGTTGACACTAAAGCTATCCAGCATAGTCATATATCATGAATATTCTATTACATTAGCAATATGCTGTACATCATGACTTCTAATGAGATCTCTGTTATACACTGTACATTTATTTAGCCAATCCTGTATTGTTGCATAGCTGAGTTCCTTCTTATCCTTTGTTGGTGAAAATCATTGCTGTGGTATGAAGCATGCAAACATTACTTTTCATTGTCGAGTATTCATAATCATTTGCCTTTGGACCACATAGTTTATTTAGCTATGTAATCCAGACTCTAAAATGAGTTGTGAGGATTAATCATACCTAAATACTTTGTGGTCGTGGATCAGTTACCCACGTGTCTCACTTGGACATGCAGTGCTGCACTGATATTTTTGTGGTTTACCCAACCACAAACTGTTAGTCTGCTGGATGGTTCTTTTTTTTTTTTTTTTTAATCCTATCTTTTTATTTGAAAATTATTCACATCTAAACCAACAAAAGAATAGGAAAGGCAGCAGTTTTCTCACAGATGTTTATCCTCCAGATTCACCAAATTCGAACACTTCGCTTCTAAATGGAAAAAAAATCCTTACGCCCAGACTAAGGTGTTCTTCTTCATCATCATCATCATCACCATCATCATCAAACAGGGCTGGGGAGATGGCTCAGTGGTAGTGTTTGCTGCACTGGGAGACCAGGGAGAGGCAGAGACAGGCAGACCCCTGAGGCTCACTAGCCAGCTAGTCTATTCTGGTCCACAAGCACCTGCTTCAATAAGAGACCCTGTCTCAAATAAGATGAAGAGCAATAGAAGAGAAGACCTGATGTCGACCTCTGGTCTCCACACGCATGCACACATGCAAACAGAAACACAAACGCATGCAAAAATAAATAACCAGGTAAACAAGGAGAGACATTTAGGGAGAAATAAACTCGATGGAAAACTTCTGTGATATATGGAAATCATCTCCAAATGATCATGTCTTCACAGTTGAGCGCATACCCCACCCCTTATTATGGTGACATGCCAGCCTGTCCCCTTAGAAGTGGGTCTTGAGAGCTTCCCTGCAGGACATGCCATTCGACTCTCCAAGGGGCACTTCACATGTACATGTTGTGGATTGTACCCTCCAAGGTCATTGGAGCGAAGTACTATCCTTGGTCTTAGTTGTTCTTTTTCTGCTTTGCCCAAAGGGAAAAATACAGTGCTTTCCAGTGACACTAATTAAACCCTTGCACCCAAATCAACAAATCATGTGTCCATCCTTTAAATACTATTTTGGGATTCTTTGAGTTTGAGACTGCTTTTCTTCTCCTCATCACCCGAGCTAAGTTTAAAATGGAAAGCGGTCTCTCATCACATAATTAAGCTGATTGCCTTTGTATGTTAGCAGCATCGATTTCCATCTAATTTGATATTCTATTGCAAGCTGCAAAGCCAATGTAACTAATAAAATGAAGTATCCTTTATATTAGGTGGTGTTGCTGACTAACCACAATACAGGTCTTATTTGGTCTCGCTTGTTCTAAGTTATCCTTCAACTGTAGCAGTTAGAAAATGTGAAGAGAATTCTGAGCTCTGCCAGAAATCTGGATCCATCACAGTCCTGCAGAAGGTGGCTGTGGGTCTGGCTTTAGAGCTGCAGGGGCAGGCATGGATTTAAGTCTTTTTCTGCACCCTATTTGCAGTATGCCCTTAAAGAGTTATCTCCTTTCTCACATTCTTTATTTATGAAACAAAAAGGATATTCAGTTGCTTTTACTGACATGTAGTATTTGTATATATTTATTGAGTACAGTATGATAATTTTATATATAATGTGTCATGATGAAATTACAGAAATTAGCATTTCTGTAGCCTCAGTATTTACCATTTCTTTGTATTTATTTATTATTTATTATTTATCTATTTATTTATTTTGGTCTTTTTGAGACAGGGTCTCCCTGTAGCCCCACCTGGCCTGGAACTTGCTATGGAGACCAGGCTGGCTTCAAACTCACAGAGACCTGCCTACCTCTGCCTCCCAAGTGCTGGGATTAAAGGTGTGCACCACCATGCCCAGCATTTCTTTGCAATTTTAAGACTTACTTTAAAGCTATAATATTGAAAACAGTGTGACATTGATGAAGGAATCGACACATGGGCTGATGGAACAGAATAGAATCCAGAAGTAGACTCCACATAAGCATGAAGTTGCAAAACAATCCAACTGAAAAAGAATAGCCTTTTCAATGGCTGATGTCAGAACAATTGGACTTTTATTTGTCCCCATACAAAAAGCAAAACCTCCATCCTTTATTTCACACCTTGTAAACATTAATTCTAAATGGAGCTGGAGCGTCTAGATTATAACTCAACACAGGTTAAGCAAGGACTTCACAAAACTGTGGAATCATATCTATATAGGAAAAAAAAAAACTCTGCCTTTTAAATTCTAAACCTTGAAACACATGCAGAATTCTGCCAGGGGCTCTGATGTATCTCTGTTAATAAAGGAAAATCTTTTTCTATAAAGAATGAATTTGGGGAAACTGCTAGGAACTAGTCATTTATACACCCTTTATTGAAAAGTAGAGAATTTTAAATCATAGGCTTATTTTACTGTGTGTTTGATGTATTTGAAAATATTCAGAATATACAAAGGCTGTCCAAAACAGCCTCACTTGGTAAAGAACAGCCTTGGAAGCAGGTTTATATGGTCTCTTTGTTACCTGGAGCTTCGTTGCAAAGGCTTTTTTATGAATAGATCAAAAGATAATCTTAATTTTTTAAGGAAACCATTAATGCCCTTAATAAAGAAAATAAATAACCAGAAACAAGGTAGGGAGTCTAGGAGGTTTCCCTTCCCTGGATGTTTTGGGTTGTGTAGCGAGTCAGTTGGAGAGGTCTCAGGGGTACTCCCCGACACACCCAGCCTAAATAGTCACTTGGTTATATCTCTAGAGAGCCTGCCAAGCCTTGTTGGGGGAAATTACTGACATGTGGAAAAATATAAAATAATCAAGTAAAATAACATTCAAATGCATACTTTTTTCTGTTCTTGTCCCAGGGCTGTGACTGAGAGCATCAACCAGCTCATCACTTTGTGCACTCAGCAGGCCCCTGGGCAGAAGGAATGTGACAATGCCCTGCGGGAGCTCGAGGTGAGAACCCGGGAAAGCTGTGTGTGTCCATGAGTATGGAAGAACTCCTGTGTGTGTCCATGAGTATGGAAGAACTCCTGTATGTGTCCATGAGTATGGAAGAACTCCTGTGTGTGTCCATGAGTGTGGAAGAACTCCTGTGTGTGTCCATAAGTGTCTTCCCCCTGTTTGGCTACTTGTCTCTCTCTGTCCTTGCCTTCTGTCTCTCATAGGAGGATACAGGAGCCTACATTCCAGTCCAGATGGGAAGGAACTGAAGAGAATTACATTTTGTGGGATTATCACCAGTGCTTCCCCTTTTATACTTGGCTAACATTTTGTCAAAGGATCCTTTAGTTCAAATAGGAAGAAGCCTCTGGCATTAAGGGTATACACTGCCAGTGAGCAAATTTTGCCTAAAAAGCATTAAAGAGATTATTCTAGGACAACTGGGAAAAAAATAAAGGCTGAGATTAGTACCCCCTTTAGTAAAAACTCTTTCTCTGGCTTGAGAAATACCTTAGTTGGTGAAATACTTGCCACAAAAGCATAAGAACCTGGTTTCTATCCCTAGAATTCACGTAAAAAAGTTGGGTGTAGTGATGCACTCTTGTGGTGCTGGGAAGGTGGAGACAGGCAGATCCAAGAGGCTTGCTGGCCACACACCTAGCTTACTTGACTAGCTCTAAGCCAGTGAGAGACTCTGTCTCAACAAAGTGGGCAGCACCTGAGGAGTGGCACTTGAAATTGACATCTAACCTCTATATGCATGTGCACGTATCTGCATAAAAGCACATAACACATACATACATGCATGCATGCACACCCACAACTATTTCCACGTCTTATTTTAACACACTGAAGAGGATCAGAAGAAGCATTCAATACTAGGAGGCTCAGGGGCTCCTAGTGGTACTTGTGGGTACTTTTTGACTTGCATTCATGTCTATTTATATTTTAAAATCTGCATGTTCTCATAGAATGTGTGTGGGTATGAAGCCAGTGTGCTCACTCATATGTAGAGCAATCCTCACCCACACAGGTCCTATTGAATGGACCCAGAGGTTATCTCAGAAGGTACATAGGTTGATTGTACCCAGAAGTTCCTTTACTCATGGTTGGCATGGGTCTGACTTGGTGGGAATACCCATGGTAACTTCTAAAGCACTTGATGGAGGCCCTGATGATAGCAACAGGCAGATCTTGGAAAGGGGGGCTGTTAAGGAAAGGCTGAAGCATTTGGAAATAAATAGAAATAGTTCTTACATGGTATAGTTTGCTATCTGCTGCTGTGATAAACACCCTGACCAAAACAGTTGGGGGAGGTGGTTATTTGGCTTACAAGTTACAGTCCATCATTTAGGGAAATCAGGACAGGATCTCAAAGCAGGAGCTTGAAGCAGAAAACATGGAGGAATGCTACTTACTGACTTGCTCCAAGGCTCACCTTCAGCTATCTTTCTTATATAGCCTAGGCCCACCTGCCTAGGGATGATATCACTCACAGTGGGCTGGACCCTCTACATCAATTAGCTGTCAAGAATATGCCCTACAGACATGCCCACAAGCCAGTCTGATAGAGAACATTCCTCAGTTGATGGTCCCTGCTCCCAGGTGTGTCAAGTTGATGATGATTAGCCATCATGTATGTGTTGTATTGCTCCTCTATTCTGCTCGTTTCACCTTTGCAAATACACGTGGCAATTGATCTGAATGAGCTTTGTTAGCCTGGGTATCTGTGTTTTAAAGATATCCTTTGTTTCCAAGATGATGATTTAGGGGCTGGAGAGTTGGCTTAGCAATTAAGAGTACTGACTGCTCTTGCAGAGGACCAAGGTTTGATTCCCAGCACCCACATGGTGGCTAACAACCATCCTAACCCCAGTTCCAGGGGATCCAACACCCTCTTCTGTCCTCCGCACACACTGCATGACCTGGGTGCACGTACACACACGCAGGCAATGCACTCATACACATTAAAATAATAATAATAAAAAGAATTAAAGATATCTTTGGTTTTCAAGATTATGACTTATTACAGGATTGCAAGTACCAAAACAGTTTTGATTATCCAAGGAGAACAGGAAGTGAGTTCATTCTATGTATATCTCTCTTTCCCTGTATTTTTAACTAAATGGAGCTCATCAGTTCCCATTATCCCACATACACCTTTGGAGCTCATGTTGGCATTTTTATTGACTATGCCCCAGAGGCTGCTGGCTCCTAGTGTGTAGTCTGTTGGTGAGCAGGGTCAACAATGCATCCCTGGGCTTTCAGCCAGTAGAAGAGCCCTTCATGAGTGGTGATCCAAGGTCATTACACTAAAGAAGCTGGTGTTGATTTTTACCTGTTTGCAGATATAAAGAAGCAGACTCTTCTCCATTTCCTGAATGGGGACCTGATCAAAAATAAACATTTTCTATACTCTTTAAATAAAAAAACAAATGAACTGTCTTTAAATAAAAAACAAATGAACTCTCCCAAAGGGCAACCTTTGGGAATTACCTTCTTCCATTAATGGATTCCAGAATTGAAATATTGAAAATCCTCTTATTCATGAAGGAGTGAATGAGTGTATTCTTGGAACAAAAGCTCCTTAAAGTTAGCCAGCAGAGAAATTGTCAGCTGATTGTTTCAGTTTCATTTCTTTTGCTGTGATAAAACATCCTGACCTAAAGCAACTTAGGAAAGAGGTTTATATGACTTGCAGTTCTAGGTTACAGTCCATCACTGAGGAGAAAGCAAGGCAGGAACTCGAGGCTAGTCACAAGAACAGAGAAAATGACTCCACCCATGTTGTCTGTTTACTTTCTCAGATGGTTTTCTTCACTCATACAGTAAGGGCCCAGCATAGGGAATGGTGCCACCCACATCCAGGATGGGTCTTCCTACCTCAATTAACAATCAAGACAGTCCCACAGGCAGTCTGATCGAATCAGATTTCCTTCAGGTGATTCTTCCTTCAGGTGATTCTAAGTTGAGTCAAATTGACAATAAAAACTATCATTCTGAACACAAATATGTTGCCTTGTATTCACTTCCAGTTTTTTTTATTTGTAAAACTAAAATGCTTTCCATCTAGGGCCAGGCCTTTAATCCCATCACTTGGGAGGCAGAGGCAGGTGGATCTCCATGAGTTGGAGGCCAGCCTGGTCTCAATAGCAAGTTCCAGGACAGCCGGGGCTATAGGGAGACCCTGTCTCAAAAAGAACCCCCCCAAAATCCCTTCTATAGATGCCATGCTTCTCCAGAACTGAAATGAGATCCCATCCCTGGCAATGCCAACCTGAGGCTCCCACCCTCATCATTATGTTACTGGAAGGTTACCTCAAGTCTTTAATCCCCTGATCTGAGTTCCCTCCTAAGAGTCTGAGTAAATGAACTGGGGGTCGAGTCATGTCCAGCCAGGGACTATAGATGGTTGTACCTCACATGGTGAATTTCTCTTTTCCTCTGGCTTGCTTTGTAAGTTGTGTTCTCTTTTGTAGACGGTCAAGGGGATGCTAGACAATCCCAATGAACCTGTGAGTGACCTCTCTTACTTTGACTGCATTGAGAGTGTGATGGAAAATTCTAAGGTAAGCCTGTCTCTATTAGGTACTTTCCTCATTGCTGTGGCTAAATACCCAACAGAAAGCAACTTAAGGAAGAAAGTGTTTATTTTTGGCTCATAATTTGAAGGTAAATCATGATGGGAGGATAATGGGATAGGCTGGTGACCTTGTATCTTAGTCAGGAAGCAGAGGGAGATGCAGGCTAGTACTCAGCTTGATTTCTCCTATTTATTCAGTCCAGGACCCTAGCCCTTCACATAGTACCATCCACATTTAAGGTGGGTCTTCCTTCCTCAATTTACCCAATCTAACAAAGTTCCTCACAGACATGCCCAGAGGTTTATCTCCTCAGTGATTCTGATCCTGTCATGTTGACAATCAGTATTTACCACCACACTATCTATGACAAAAGCCAGATATGGATTCTTCTCCTCAGTAGTGGAAGATTGAGAAGAGGTTTGAATATTCCTGCCTCCGCATTGGTTGACTAGCTGGATGTGGTGAGGCCCTTTGCTCGGGTATTCCTCACTAGCTGCCAAAACCCCAGACCTAGGGCTTAAGTTGGTAGATTGTGCATTTCTAAGGGCTCCCAGTTCTGCCTCTGTGGCCTAGGAACCCTCCTTTGAGGACCACTGCTTCTTTCACATCACAGACACTTCTTACTGTGAATCTAACCATATGTTCTCTGTGTCTGGGGCTAAACTGCTATAGAAAGTCCATCCATGGTCTTGGCTTTCATGAGAGCTCCTTGCTTGTCTTTTATGCCATCCAATCATGGCATGCTTTCTCTAGGGAAGAGACAAAAAGGGGTGTTGGCATCTGGCCTAGGACCTGGTACCCCAGTGCATGCTGATTTACCTCAGGTCTGTTTGGGGGAAATATCTGTATTGCTGCTATAGAGGGCTCAATTCGTGTTGGGCCAAGAAAAGAATTCCCTCTGTTTGAGCTGGGCATGATGGCACATGCCTTTAATCTCATCACACAGGAGGCAGAGGCAGGAGGGTCATCCTGGTCAACATAGTAAGCTCCAGGCCAGCTGGGGGCTATGGGGAGACCCAGTCTTAAAAAAAAATTTAAAAAATTCCTCTGTCCAGCAACTTTCTTGGAATAATGGGTTGTGTAAATGGAGAGTGCATATGATTTCTAATATGTAGATTCAAAGGAAGAGGTTTTTTTAATGTCTGTTTTTTTGCCTTACAAGGCTTCCTGTAAGCTAGATTATTTTGCATAGCTAAGACAGTTTAGGAATTTATTTCATTTCTTCTCCAAGATAGCTCATTGTCACATGAAGACTCTATCGATTTGAGAGTTGGCAATGCTGTTTCTGTCTCAAGGGTGAATATCTTTCCATTCCATCATCTGCAGCCTTGGAGAGCATGCTCTCGCCTTCTGTCACATGCCAAGGTTCATGGAAGGCAGGGCACCACATTTTGGGTAGATACCCTGCCTCTGCTTCTGACCTTTTGTGTGATCTTGTAGATGACCTTTGACCTCCCTGGGTTGCACACCAAACATGAAAATCCTTATTAGCCATTATTTTGAGGCCAAAGAAAGAATGCACCAGTGATTTTCAGAATAACTCTAACTACTTATAATATTCAGGAAATATCTTTAACACAGTTCTAGGTAAATTTTCAGTTAGCAAATTATACCAGGAACAGTACATCTTCTACTTTCTGGCTAGAACTTAAGTACACTCACTGAATATCATTTTTATGTTCTTGGAACTAAATAATTCTGATTGGGCTATGTACCCATGGGAAGTCTCATGTAGATTCCACTTGATTATCTCTGTGTGTCTACTGTACCTCCTAGAAATACCTTGGGACAAAAGATTCCGACTTTCATCATTTATTTCTCTTTATGGAACAGAAATGGTATGGTTCATTTGACTCTCTTCTTAATGCAAGCAAGGGAGAAGATGACAAATGTTTTAAATTAAGTGACCCTGAATATCAAAGTTGCAGAGCAGCCTCCTGTACTCCTGAATTTAAAACAATGCTCAACAGCTGATTGTTTGTTTGCAGGTTCTAGGCGAGTCAATGGCAGGGATTTCACAGAATGCCAAGACTGGGGACCTCCCTGCCTTTGGGGAATGTGTGGGGATTGCATCCAAGGCTCTGTGTGGGCTGACGGAGGCTGCGGCTCAGGTAAGAGGCTAGTCCCTGTGTTCTTTGTAGCCTATACCCTAGGCCCGATTGCAGATCTCTGAGGGAGGCCTTCAGGAACGCCAGTCAAGTACCAATGTAGGAACTATGGGAAAGGTACTAGTTTCTGGGTGGGCATTTAAGCAGAATACCAGACAGTTCTTCCATGCTTGGGTCAGGGAACACAGTGAGCCTCCCTGAACACTGCAGACCTAGCATATAAGAGTCAGAGTGCAGCTTTTAAAGTTAGTATTCTAGATTCTAGGTCAGTTGTTTTGTTGGGGAGAATATAAGTGGTGAGTAATTAAAATGTCCTGAGTCTTTAGCATTGCAGGAGCTCTTTTTGCAATTAGAGGGAGAAAAAAAAATAAGACACTGTCATGCAGAGCTGTGATATGAAGTCTTTCCTGCCTTTCTTCAACGGGCCCGTGTCCCTTTCCAGTCATGATTAGGCCTATGTGACAAAAATTTCCAAGATGTCAGCATTTAGCTTGAAGGGTTTGTCACTGACAATGACCTTGAACTTGGGAGATTTTGCTTAGTCAAAGAGAAGCATCCCTAGTTTGAAAATAAAATTCTTCACCTTCATCCTTCCTTTCAAATTTCACAAGCTCTGTTAGTTATTTGGATTTCCTTTGGATGTGCTAGGCAAAGAAACACCCTGTTTTGGGAGTGTCTTTTTGGAGACCAAATATTGTCTTTGTTGTTTGTATTTTCTGAGCCATCTCACTCTTTTTATTCAATTGTCCAAGCCAAGTATTTCCTACTATCGGAAATACTGTTCTAAACAAGGACATGTTAAGCTCTGTGGAAAGAAACCTTTGGGTAGTAAAGGCCCCAGTGTTGGTTTCTCAGTGGCTCCATACATCAACCTGTACCCTCTGTTTTATGCCTTTCCTAACTGTAAGCCAGAGTCAGCTTCATGGTAAAGTTGGGTAGCCTCATGGTCACAAGATGGCTACCAGGAGCAGTGCAGGCTACCTCCATCCACATCCATGCCCCACAAAGGAGCTCCTCAAAGGCTTTCTCTTAAACACAAGGAGACTTTGTTCCCTGGTGCCTGCAGCAAACTCCTGCTGGTATGTCATGCTGGCATAGGCCTGTCCACTGATGCCCTCCCTCATGGTGAGAGGTTACTTTGGTCAGCTTGTGCTGAAGAGCACCTGAGCTTTCCAGCTACCGGTACACTGCAGACCATTGTCTCCTGTGGGCTCACTGAAGCATGTGGCACCTGAGCTGTGCTTTTCTTTGTCTTCCTTCTCCAGGCTGCGTACCTGGTTGGCATCTCTGATCCAAACAGCCAGGCAGGCCACCAAGGCCTGGTGGACCCCATTCAGTTTGCCAGAGCTAATCAGGCAATCCAGATGGCATGCCAGAACCTGGTAGACCCTGGCAGCAGCCCATCACAGGTAACTAGGGTATATGAGCTCTTGGGCTTTTCTGGGTAGGTTGTGCAACATGGTGGGAAATGAATGGAGAATCCTGTGCTTTCAGAGCTTGCAAACCATCTGACTGCAACTGTGCAGATAATGACTTTTCTAGTTTCATTTCTGTGGCTGTGATAAAGTACCTTGACTAGAAGTAATTTAGGGGAAAGTTTATTGGCTGACAATTCCAGGTGGCAATCCATCACTGAGGGGAAATCAAGACAGGAAGTCATATCCACACTGAAGAACAGAAAGAGAGTGCATGCATGCTATGCTCAGCTCGCTTTTTCCACTCTTGGACAGTGTAGAACTCAAAATCAGCCAATGGCACTGCCTACTTTCAGGCCGGGTCTTCCCCTATCGGTTAAGGCAGTCCGGACAGTCCCCCACAAACATGCCCACAAACCAACTTGATCTAGATTATTCCTCATTGAGACTCTTTCCTGATGATTCTATGTTGTGTCAAGGTGACCAATAAACTAATCATCACAAAGACCACAGAAATTATTGCCAATGTGGCAAAGGCAGAAATGTGCACATCCTTACAGATAGGGTGCAGGAAAGCAACAGGACGAAAGCAACCAGGGCTGTTCACAAGGAGTTTCAGGGCTCCATTTGTTGATTGCTTGTTTTATGCTCAGCACTGAGAAGTCAACGTGAGAAAGACCTGACCTTCTGCCCCTTTGACTGTTACTTTTTGTGCAATTTTTGAAGCATTGTGTGATTGGGGTATGATGACATGATAGGAGATTGTTCTAGTTTCCTTTCTGCTGCTGTGATAAAAAACTTTGACCAAAAGCAACTGAGAGGAAGAAAGGGCTGTTTCCGCTTTCACATCCAAGTCACAGTTCATCACTGAGGGAAGTCAGAGCAGGAGCTGAAGCAGGAGCCATGGAGGAAGACTGCCTACTGACTTCATCACTGGTTTATGCTCAGCTAGCTTTCTTCTACAGCCCAAGTCCACCTGCCTAGGGTTGGTGCCACGGTGAGCTGGGTCCTCACACCAATCATCAGTCAAGACACAGGCCAGTCTGATTAGGAAAACTCTTAAGTTGAGATTCCCGCTTTCCAGTTTGTATCAAATTAACAATAAAAACTAACCAGGACAGGGATGTACCAAGGAAGGTGTGACAAGTTCTTTCAAGTCACTTCAGAGACGATGACACTGAGCTCAGCCTCAGAGTCAGGGTCAGAATTCACGGCAAAGAAGGGAGCTACATTTGAGTTAGGTGGCATGTATCACATGCCATGGTGCTTCTGTACCAAGGCCATCTGAGCCTGCTGCAGACCAGAGGGTTGGAGTGTTAGTGCACCTACATCCTTGCCTGTCCAGCCTCCAAAAAGGGAGCCTGTGGTTTCAAGAGTAGCTGAGTTGAGGCTGAGGATGAAATCCATAGGGTCTACAGACCCCTAATTGCCACCTGTAGCTCCCCTAGTGGTAGGAGGGAGTAGTGCATCTTGGCCCATCTAGACCTGTGCTTGCTAAGGAGTTGGCCATTAGCAATGTGTGGCAGTAAATCACTGAGAACATAGCCAGTCCAAATTGTGGTTTGCCATAAATATACACCAAAGACTTGGCATGAAGAAAAACTTACACAATCAGATTGGGATTTGTAAATTGGTTATACAGTGAAATATTTTGGATACATTGAGTTAAATTAGCCATATTATTTAAATTAATTTCTCTTGTTTCTCTACTCATTTTAATGTGACTACTGGAAAATTGTAAGCTGTGTATGTCTAGGCCTTGGCCTAGGGCCTGGGCCCTGGGGGTTCCCCTTTAAGACTGGGCCCACACACTCCTACCACAGCACCTCCTTCCCTTTTCTATTTTCATTCTCTCTTGCTTCATGTTTCTTGCCCTCTCCTTCCTTGGGGTGACTTTGGGGACAGCAGAGCTAGGCACACGTTACTGCCCAAGTTCTGGATACATGAGTTGCAGAGGAACCCAGGCCCCTCTGCACTGAAGTATATGGTGCCTACCTTCAACCCAGTTCCATGCTTTGTAGGTTCTGTCGGCCGCCACGATCGTTGCCAAGCACACGTCTGCCTTGTGCAATGCTTGCCGCATTGCCTCATCCAAGACAGCTAACCCTGTGGCCAAGAGGCACTTTGTCCAGTCAGCCAAGGAGGTTGCCAACAGCACTGCCAACCTGGTCAAGACCATCAAGGTAAATCCCTACACTACAGGTCTTCTTGGTTCCTGAACAGAGTTGAGGGAGAGCCGAAGCTCTGCCCCCTAAAACCTGTGCCTGATAAAGAATACCCTTTACATCATGGCTGGAGGGATGTCTTCACTAATCAGAAGACCACCAGGAAAGCCCCACCACCTACATCTCCATTAACCTCCAACGTGGTGAGGAGAGGGGCCACTCTGAATGCTGTACCTGGGAACTTAGAGCCTGCAATCAGGCTGAAAGAGTTGGGTAAGGGGCCTGTTTTATCCCTGTGTGAGTAATAACCTATGTACACTTAAAGTCTGTTTACTTGGTGTAGTTTTGAGTGGTCTGGTAGAGGGCTGTGCCATTGTTTCTAGAAACTTGTGAACCAAGAAAGGATGTGAAAGGAAAAGATTCTGGAATTTTATAAATAATCACATTACTAAAAATTAGTTTGGGGCTGGGGAAATGTCCCAGTGGGTAAAGTGCTTGCCATGCAAGATTGAGGACCTGATCTTGGATCTCCAGAACCCACATCTAAGCCTGACACAGCATACATCTGTATTCCCAGGGCAAGATGGGAAGTGGAGGTCGAATTCCCTGGAAGCCCATAGGCCAGCTAGTCTGTGTATGTATTGGCAAAGTAACAAGAGAATCCCTGTCTTAAAAAACAAGGTGGAAGGAGACACCCCACACCTAAGGTTGCCCTCTGTCACACACATGCCCACACTCATACACACTAATGTATACAATCACTAAATCTCCCCTATGACATCTATTTGGTTTATAAATGATTAATTTTTTTTCTTGGAAATCAGCTTTTTTCTGCCTTCCTAAAAGTTCATCATTATGGTAAAGTCCATGGGCAGACCAAATGTGTGTGGGGAAGGGAGGTAGGGTTTCCTTGTGAGGAGGGACCTGAAGTCTTTGTAGGTAAATGAAAAAAAAACACAGTCTGACCTAAGCCAAGGCCACACAGGCAGCAGGCAGCTGATCTTTTGGGAGCATAGCCAAAACCTGGACAGCAAAGCACAGGCACAAAGCCCAGTGTCATCCATGCTCCCACTCCCACCAAAGGAGCATCATTGTAAGAGGGATGATACCAGTTCTGTGTGAAAAGCACCAGAGATATGGACACATTTATTTACGATTTTTGGGTGGTGCTGGGGATCAAACCAAAGGCTTTGTACATGCTAGGCAAGTGCTGTAGCACTGAACCATACCCCAGCCTGACCTCAGTAGGAGGGTCTCCTGTTGGCTGCAAGTTGCCCTGTAGTAATGGGATTTCCCTCCTCTGCCCTCTGTAGGATAGGACATCACAGACCTTGTGGGTTTTGCTGCAAAGAGTGCTGTGCAATCCCATGGAGAAGTCAGGTACAGGGTGAGCCTAGCAGAGAGGAAAAGAGAGAGCATCCAGCCTGAAGCAGCTGGAAGCTGGCTGGTAAGAGCTGGGCCTGTTACCCCAGTCAGCAGTCCTGTAGCTGTTTCAACAAAGAGTCATTTGAAAAACAAACAAAAGCCCTGGGTGTTTGAAAGCAATAAGAAACTAGATTGAAAATGAATAAACAAATTAATGCTAGTGCCCTCGTGTTCCAGGATCCTGGTGGCAGCTCATCTCTCTTGACATCACAGTTTATAATATTAGCAATTAATAAAGCTCATAGGTTTTTTCGTTTGTTTTGATTTTGATTTTTTGGAGATAAGGTCTCACTGTGCAGCCCTGGCTCTCTATGTAGACCAAACTGGCCTTAAACCCAAAGAGATCCACCTGCCTCTGCCTCTTGAATGCTGGAATTAAAGGTGTATGCCACCACACCCTGGAAATGTAAACTCATGTTTTTAAATACATATTTTATGCTCTGTTTATTAATCAGTCCATCCATACAGCTGCTCTATGTTAATCATTCCCATTTTGCTGACTGAGGCACTGAGAGATTAAATAACTGTGACTAGGTAAACCTTGAGCAAATGAAGGCTGAGAATTCAGCCCCAGGCCCCAGAGACAGCCTTCACTCCTCTCAGTCCTGGCAGTGTTGTTGAACTCTTTAGAACAGATGAACTCATCCCTCCAGCCTTGGGGGGAAAGCCCTGGCTGTGTTTACAGAGCTTGAGTATATAAGTTTGGGTAGTGGGAGGATGGAAAGGGCAGTGTAGTTGAAAGCTATGATGTCATTGTTCCTTACTGCATAATTAACTTTTCTCAGTTTAAAAGTCAGTCGTTTTCTGATCATTAAAAATGAAGGTGGGAGAGGGCTCTTGAATCTAGAAATTCCTGCAGCCCCTCTCTCACTCTGCCTTCTTGATTTTAAATTTTGATCTGTCTCTGTTACATGCCATCTTTTCACATTCTCCTCACAGTGTGAAACCCCCTGTGATGACCAGCAGCACATGAGTTTTTGTGATGGCCCAGAAGATAAAAGCATCAGAGAAGGGTAGCAGGGTGATTATAATGTGGGGCGCATAAAGACCTGTCTCACATGAGCAGTCTGGGGAACCAGCAGCAGTACGAGAGGAAGAGAAAACTTTTGCCCCTCAATTTGTCCAAATGTGCCTGGGTTTTCCATTCCCACTGTGTGGTAGGGTTCCCAGCCAGACGATGAATGTTGCTTTTCACTTACCAATAAGAAAATGGCGAGTCATTTCCTTGGAGCACCCTGCTATGTACTGAATGAGATCAATTTGAAGGAACAGTTAGGTGTTCTATAAAATAGAAAAACAAATGAATCTTTAATTTCCTGAATATTTCAGATAGCTGCATTTCCTCTAAGTGTTAAGTTTCTTAGCACTATGTTTACTTTTTGCTATGAGGCTGTGCCCAAACATAAGCCTACCTACCACACCCTTCTAGTCATGAAGAGGGAGAAGGCATGCCATAGGGACCTTAGGTTTCTCTGGGTGGAGTTCTTTAAACTCCCAAAGGATAATCCATCAAGAACCCATTTCAGCATATGACTTGCTAGGGATGGCTCTCAATATATGTTACAAGTGGCCATGGCTGAGTCTCTTCTGTCCGGTCCCCACATGCACTCTTGCCTGCTTTTCTCTTTCCATTCGCCTCATTACCTAGCCTTGACTCAGATGTGTGGAATGGAATGTTATTTAAGTGTGCAGCCACTCAGGTTTGAGTGCCAAGTCAAAATTATGCAATCCCAGCTTTTGTTTTGCTAAGAAGTTGAAGTTTGGCCTTGCCCATCACCACAGAGTGAGAATTCAGATTTTTGCAGTTAGGCACTTCCTAGTGCATGCCACAAACACCAGATGCAGCTCTCTTTAATCGAATTTAACTTGACTGTAAGTATGTTTTCTTGGTCATCCTTCCGTTTTGGGCCAACAAAGTAGGGATCTGCACAAGTAGAAAAAGAGCAACTCTGGCTCATCTTACACCTTCTGGTTGCCTTTGTTGGGGCCTAAGATCTGTGGTGGGAGGGGAGCTGGAGTCTTGGGTCATGGTTTGAGGCATGCCAGCAAGTAGTAGGGTAACTTGAGTAAACTGTGCCATTTTTCCAGGTGTCAGTTTTATTGTTTGACAAACCAGGGTGGAGGTGGTATTCAGTGATTTCTAATGTCCTTTTCTACCCCTGAAGTCCATGAATCTTCTGTGAATGTTTTTCCCATGTACTTGTTAGATTGTGCTGATGACACCAGGCTTGGGGGTCCGGAGTCTCTTGTCTACATGGCTCTGGATATGTAACCATGTGAATTTACCACTTCACCCTTCTGTATGGCATAGCAGACATTCTGTGACATGGAACCAGTACGCGGAAACTCTGGTGCCTGCTCAACATTTCACTGAGGGGCAGACTTGAATGTTGGCTTTACGTAGTGATTCAGTGGAAGCAAAATTTGGAAGTGATCTTTCTGATCTCAAAGCCACCTTTGGAGGAAATAGCTTTTCCTTTTTGAAAACAAAAGCAGGTTGTTGTTGTATCTTGGCATTGTAGCCAGCAGTTTTCAGTGCCCTGCCCCGTGAATAGAGATAGGCTAGATGAGGTGTGAGGTTTTTTGGACCTGTGCTGAGCAAAATTAAAAAAAGAATCCTCTTGGCATCCTGTTGGTATAGTCTTTGAGAGCACACCGTTAGAGAACTCTTCCTTGACATTTATCTCAGGGAGTCATCTTTTCAGTTCAAGAGTGGAAAGGTAAGAGACAGAAAGAAAAACCATGTCATCTCAGCCACCAGAGGTGTGATTGGTAGAGCTAGAGCCCACACTCCTGGACTCCAGAGTTCACTGTAACCATCCTCCTGATTTACCCACCTGTGCTGGGAATGTTTGTATTGATCAGCTGCCATCATAACTCCCACTGGTATTTCCAGATTACTGAGACCTGGTAGCACCCAACTTCAGGGAGTCAATAATGTTAATAATAGCACAATGAGATCAGCATGCTGAAGCAATCCTCTTTTATTTTGCCAGGGCCAGCAATGTAAACTCAACATCTAATAAGTATAGGAGTGCGATTAGAAAGGAGGCCATGCATGTGAGCAAGAAGTAGCAGGCATTGTAAGGTCTCCAGTGGGCCTGGAAGAGTGGCTCAATCAGAGACATTAAAGTCAGCATCTGCTAGGTGAGGGAAGGGCAGGAGCCAACTCAAGCCAAGTGCCGTATTAGTGGGGATGCTAAATGAGCAGGCTCATGGGAATTCCTCTGAAAGTATTAACATTGTAAATGCATAATTATTATCCCAAACTGCCAAGGTTTGACTGGAATGTAGTTGTTATTTAGAAGTAGCCTTCAGACCGATTGTGCCAGCCTCCTCTTGCCTCATTGAAAAAAAGATCACTCCCACTTCACATCTAGTTAGTCAGATAATTCCAGTGCCTCTGGTGTGTTTGTTCACTAATTGTCTAAATTGGCTTTTATATATTTCTCATAAGGATGAAATTAAAAGTTTAATTGGTCATTAAACAAGGAAATTTGCATTCTTCTGCAAACATAACTGCCTTCTCCCATGTAGCCCTTCGCTAGGAGTCAGGGCTGTTGCTTATAATGGTTTTGTTCTTGAATAGGAACCTTGAACCCAAGTATTAATCTTGGGTGAGGCATCACAGGCCAAGTTTTTGGATTTATGGATTCTCATCCAAGCTGGCCATTAGTGAGCAGTTTGACTGATCACTCAATCCTCTTGTGTTATCTGTGCTAATTAAATAAAGATGAAGCAAGAAAAACATAGAGGGAAAATACATCCTGTCTAGAGCTCAGTGAGTTTTCTCAAGCGGAACACACTGGGTTCCAGTAACCAGATTAGAAAGTGGAGCATAACTAGCACCCAAAAGTCATCCCCTCACCATGACCTTGTACAACCTTCTGTTTCAGTTCCTCCAGAGCATGACCCAACCTCTAACACCTTCAATTTGTTTCAACTATAACTGTATTTTCACAACTAGAATTGCACAGCAAGTACCCTCCTGTGTGTGGTCTTCTTAACTAGGTAGTCCATTATGCATGTGTTAGGAGGTAACCATTTGGTTGGGATAGGTCTAGCCTGTTCCTTCCCATTGGATTCCATTGTGTTCGTTCCAAGATATAGGTCATGTCAGCCTTGGTTATGTAGGAATGCCCAGGTAAAACTTGGAAAAATCTGAAGTGTGAGGGTTGGAGACTTAGCTCATGGATAGGCCCAGATTTTGGTCCCCATCATCAAAGAGGGAGGGAGGGAGGGAGGGAGAGAGGCAGAGGGAGAGAGAGGGAGAGAGAGAGAGAGAGAGAATCTGAAAATGGAGGATTGTCATCTCAGAGCTGGAAGAGAAAGTGGCTTGGCAGCCAGGTATGACAGCATGGCCAGAGGGAGTGATGAGTGAGTAGGCTGACCACAGGCCCCTGTTCTGTGCACTGCACATCCATCTTTCTCCTTAGGATTGGTACCTGGGCCCCTCTGATTGACAGGAGGGATCTCTCTAATTACTTCTTACTTGTTTATGAATTTACCAAATGCTTTCAGTGGTATTCCCATTGAGCCATCTCCCCTGTCCGGGAGCTGACTGTTGTGGTTTGGCTTTGGAATGCTGTGTGGGATGAAATCTCCTTTTCTTTCCCATCAGGCCTTGGATGGGGATTTCTCTGAAGACAACCGCAATAAGTGTCGTGTTGCTACTGCACCCTTGATTGAAGCTGTGGAGAACCTAACGGCATTCGCATCAAACCCTGAGTTTGTCAGCATTCCCGCCCAGATCAGCTCTGAAGTAGGGGAGCCTTTCCAAGTATAGGGGTTGTTGACTAATTCAGTATGACATGAATGAACATGAATAGTTAAAGCTTCAAAAGTTCTTTGTCAATAACCTATGAACTGTGTTGCTGTACTGTGTTACTGTGGGTGATGCTACAAGAACAGTTATTAAACTCAGTGACTGTGTATTTATCCCTTGAGAAATAATGGCTTTATATTGAGAGTAATCTCTGTACCCAAGTTTTGGGGTCATTCTTTATGACAGGTGTCATACTCAAAACTACTAAAGAACAAACATGGGCCCATGTTCCCCCAACCTAGACTCTTCATATGATAGCTTCCCTCCAAAGTGTAGAAGTGGTGATTTAACAAAAATAAGACTTTCTAGGGTCCACCTTATTGACTCATGTCTAAATCCTCTGCCCTTCATGCCTTCTTGCTTGGTCCTAGGGCTCCCAGGCACAGGAACCAATCCTGGTCTCTGCCAAGACCATGCTGGAAAGTTCATCATACCTCATCCGCACTGCTCGCTCTTTGGCCATCAACCCCAAAGACCCACCCACCTGGTCTGTGCTGGCTGGACATTCCCACACTGTGTCTGACTCCATTAAGAGTCTCATCACATCTATTAGGTGAGTTTCTCATCTGGAAAGCACTCCCAATCTGCATACAAATAGGGCAGGAGGGGACTAAGCCAATTAAGTAATATTGATCATTATTGTGACCTTGGTCTCAACTTGACACAGACTAGAATCATCTGGGAAGAGGGAACCACAATCAAGGAATTTCCTCCATCAGATTGGCCTGTGGCATATCTGTGAGGCATTTTCTTGATTGCTAATTGAAGTAGGAGGTCCCAAACCACTGTGGGTGGTGCCATCCTTTGGCAGGTGGGCCTGGGTTGTATAAGACAGGTAGCTGAGGGCTGGAGGGATGGTTCATCAGATAAGAACATGAACTGCTCTTGCGGAGGACCTGGGTTCAATTCCCAGCACCCACATGGTGGCTAACAACCGTCTATAACTCCAGTTACAGGAGATCCGATACCGTCTTCTGACCTCTGAGGGCATTGCATGACATAGATGCACTTACATACATACAGGCAATACTCATGTAATACTCAATACACATAAAATTAAAAAATAATAAAATATTTCTTAAAAAAGAACGGTAGCTGAGCAATCCAGTAAGCAGCATTCTTCCACAGTCTCTGCTTCAGTTTCTGCCTTGAGCTCCTGCCCTGGCTTCCCTTGATGTTGGGCTGTGATCTATAAGCTGAAATACACCCTTTCCTCTCCAAGTTGCTTTTAGTTGTGATGTTTATCACAGCAACAGAAAAGCAAACTAAAACAATTAGCATCATCTTTTTCTTTATCTCATTGGAACTTGTGATGGTAACAATAGCTCACTTAAGTGGTTGCTATAAACCAGATACTCTTCCAGACATTTTATCTCTTTTATCTTTTCTGATCATCACATTCTAAGGTACATTGTATCAGTTTTACTAATGAGAAAATGAGCAGGAGAATTTAGGGGATATTCCCAAGGTTACCCAAAGGCTCCAGCTTCAGGTCTAACCATCATACAAACTATCTAAGAGCTTAGTTTAGTTAAAGTGTGCTGCTGTTTAGGTTCTTTTACTTTGATAATAAGAGGAAAGGAATATTCTGCAGTTTACAGTAACTCTGGGCATTCCTGACCTTCTTGGTGATATCAGGAGCCTTAAGAAACATCATTTCTAAATTTGACAAAAGTTAATATCCCACAGCAGAGAGTACATTTATTTCCTTTGTTATAATATTTTGTTTCCCTTTTCTTGTGAAGTTCAAAACTATAAACTTTTTCTTACTGCATTCCAATGAAAATGACATAAAATACTTTTAACTCTTCCTGTAGTCCATGAGTTTATAACTAGGATACACTGTAGAAAACACGGTATGTTTCTGCTATAAATTGCATTGACACTAATATCTGTGACTAGATACTGAGAATAATCTCTGTGCCCAGCTTTTTTGTTGTCTTTTTTTTTTTTTTAAGTGGCTAGAGAGATGACTCAGTGGGTAAGGGTACTTGCTACACAAGCATGAGGACCTGAGTTCAAATCCCCAATACTTATGGAAGAAGCCAGGTGTGGGTACATGCTTATAACCTCTGTGCTGTGGAGGACACAGACATGAGGATCACTGGAACTTGCTGGCTGCCTCATTAGCTCCAGGTTCAGTGACAAACTTTGTCTCAAGGGAATAAGGCAGAGAGTGATAGAGTAGGACACTCAGCGTCCTTTTATGACCTCCGAATGTTTATGGTTGCATGAACCTCCACACAAACATGCACATACACATCATAGACGTCACACGCACGCACGCACGCACACGGACTTCTTTTTATAATGTTAGGGGTGAATGTTCAAGTCAGAGAAGGACAAACCAAAGGCTGATTGCTCCCTTTGCAGTTGCTGGTCATCAGCCTGAGAAGGAAGGTTCTGGACTCCGCTCTTCTGCTAGGAATGGAGCTATGTCAAGTACTGAGTGTTAATTAAGAAATCCATGGGCTCTGCACCGGGCATGGCTAAGCAAGCATCAGAGATGCTTTCCTAATGGAGGAGACGAAGTAGAGAGCGGGCCAGGGCTCTTGATCTACCAGTGCAGGAGCAGGTTTTAGAACTTAAACTCTTTGAAGCTGGTATTTGACTTGCACTGTCCCTTCCAGGGACAAAGCCCCTGGGCAGAGGGAATGTGACTACTCCATTGATGGCATCAACCGATGCATCCGGGACATTGAGCAGGCTTCACTGGCAGCAGTCAGTCAGAGCCTGGCCACAAGGGATGACATCTCTGTGGAGGTAAGTTTGGGTCTCTTTGGTCTACTGCAGATACTTCAGAGGTGCTCAAGAACCTCAGGATCAGGCTTCATGGGAGGTGGAGGAAATGTTTCTAATACTTGAGTTCTGTCATGGGCAACCTTCTCCTGTGGAACCAACTTGAGAAGTTTTAGGACAGAACAGGGCAAAAGCCAAACGGAACAGACTGACTTGGGGAAGGAATACACCAGCTACTAGAATGGGAAGTTCAAACTTGGCAGAAATCTGTCAGTGTAAGGTAATTGCGTGTCCTAAGGTGGCGTTGTCATGTTCAGTTATACGCATCAGTAGAGTAGGCCCAAGCATGTAAAGGTTGGATGCTTCTCACATTTCATCAGTGCACTGATGAATGGGGAAATTTGGCATTAAATTCTAATATATTTGGTCCATTCCAAGGTGCCCTGAGTTATTCTATAGCTTAGCTTATATGTAGGGAATTCCTTGGTATTCTATTACTTAAAGTTACTTCATCCTTTCTCTGCGTGCATGCCTCTGTGTGTGTGTGTGTGTGTGTGTGTGTGTGTGTGTATGTGTGTTTTACACATGTGTGCCAGTGCACTCACCCATATGGGTGCACATGAGGGGAGGCCAGAGGTTCAATTCCTTTTCCTTTTTTTTCTTTTGGTCTTTTTGAGACAGGGTCTCCCTGTAGCCCCAGCTGTCCTGGAACTCACCATTTAGACCAGGCTGGCCTTGAACTCACAGAGATCCGCCTGCCTTGGCCTCCTAAGTGCTGGGATTAAAGGCATGTACCACCACACCTGGCTTTTTTTTTAAATTTTTTTAATAACTACATGATTAGAAGAAGCATTTCATTATAGCTTTAACATATTCAGTAACACACTCCAGAGCAAGAGTACATCTCTTTCACAAGTGGCTGTAAGTTTCTTTTCACAGTTTAATTAATACAGTTATACAATATTGAACTCAGTATAAGCCCTGGAAGACATAAAATTAAT